ATTGGATTGGATAGCTGTGGCATTTCCAGTACATTATACACTGATCAACCACAACATTAAAACCACTGATGGGTAAAGTGAATAGCATTGGTTATATTGTTACAATGGCACATGTCAATGGGTGGGACATATTAGGTATAGAGTGAATTTTATGTGTTGGAAGAAGGAAAAATGGGCAAGCAAAAAGATCTGAGTGACTATGACAAGAGCCAAATAGTGAATGCTAGACGACTGGGTCATCTCCAAAATGGCAAGTGCATGTGCTCCTGGTTTGCAGTAATTTGTACCTACCAAAAGTGGTAGGACAACTAGTGAACCAGCATCAAGGTTATGGACGCCCAAGACTCATTGATGCATGTAGGTTAGCGAAGGCTAGTCCGTCTGGTCCAATCACATAGAAGAGCTACTAGTTGAAAAACGTAATGCTGGCCATGATAGATAGATGTCAGAGCACATAGTACATCGCAGTTTGCTGCATTTGAGAGTGACCATGATGACCCCTGTGTGGAACGTGAAATAAATGCATAACAACTATTACACTGATCTAAGTCTGCCATTTCAATGAGGTGAATATTTTAAATCAAACAAATCTTAAATAATTTTGTCCTCCTGAATACCTCAGATTACCTCCAGTTTATCTCCAACCAGACACTTAGAAGCAGCACTCTCCAGAATATCTCCAACCACACACTTAAAAGCAGCACTTAGATGAAGCAACAAAGCTATATTCCATATATATTACATGGTCTGATGAATCACATTTTCTTTTAGATCAGGTGGATGGCAGAGTGTCTGGGCACCCCTTCATAGCAATGGTGTTCACTGACGGCAGTGGCTTCATTCAGCAAGATAAAGCACCATAACACACTGCAAAAATTGCTCAGGAAAGGTTTGAGGAACAAGACAAAGAGTTTAAGACATTGTCTTGACCTCCAAATAGCCCAGATCTCTGTGAGATAGCTCAGTGGGCATCACCAGTAGAATCTAATGCATCATCAGTAGAATCTGTTCAATCCTTGAGTTGCAGGTTCAAATCCCATCAGGGTTGACTCAGCCCTTCATCCTTCCGAGGTAGATAAAATGAGTACCATTAGATTGGGTAATAGTAACAACCCCTGGATGTTGGGCTAAGGTAGTTGAAAACCAGGGTAATCTGAATATACCTCTCCTGGTTAAAAACTTTGTTATTATTATTATTATTATTATTATGTGCTGGAACAACAAATCTGATCATTCAGCAGGATAAAGCATGGAGACCCCAACTTGCAGGACGTATAGGGTCTGCTGCTAATGTCTTGGTGCCAGATACCACAGGACACGTTCAGAGGTCGTGTGGAGCTCATGCCGTGACGCATCACAGCTGTTTTGGCAGCACGAGGTGGGGCTTACACGATATTAGGCAGGTGATTTTAATGTTGTGGATGATCAGTTTAAGGTTTCTGAAGGATGTACAGGAGCTTTGAGACCTGTCTTGCAGGTAAGCACACAGTTTCTTTAAACAAAGAGTTTTAACTGGGTACTTCTAATTTTACAGTTCTAAAGTACCATTAGTTAGTATCAGAGTCACATCTGATAAAAAGGTCATACAAATTTAAATAAAAAACTCACTTTATATACATTTCCATCCTTAAAATATGCAACACCTTCTCCTTCATACATCCCATGTACCATGTCTCCTTCATACCTAGAAAATAAAATAAAAATGATCATATTTTACTAATAACTAAATATTATATCAAAATAAAAAGAAATACATAATTCTGTTTAATAATATTGGATGGGGCACGCAGTTGTGTGACCAAATATTCCCCATGTCCTTAGAATGCTTTGTATGTATGATAGAGCAATACAACTAAAAGTAAGGTGCAATATAAACATATCACAGAGTTCCATGGCAATAACACTTCTAGTAATGATAGTTGTGTATCACAATAATAAACATCACTGTAATTTGCAGGGAAATTGGGAGTAACAGTTAAAAAAAAATACTTTGAAAAATTATTTCAAATAAAATTTTCCCCATGCGTATAGGGCATTTAACTCCTCAAATGACTTTATAATGATGCTTTAATCCAAAGATTTTGTATTAATTTTATCAGCTTTGGAAGTATAAAAGGCTCAGTCCTTCTCTCCTTCCATATACGCAAATCATGCCCCCCCAAATCCTGAGGGATCACCCCAATTTTAGGATCCTGTAATGCCACATAATTCTGTCCCCTTGTGTCCTCCATCCAAGGGCAATAGGGAAATATCCCCAGCAATCACTCATGAAATGAGCCTGTGAAGAGGGACCATGCAGAGAGCGTTACAGCAGCATTCTATGCAGGGTCTGCCCTGAGTGGGACTGGACAGAGAGGCCTGGTGGCGCCTCCACCTCTTAAGGAAGGACTTTTGGGCATCACCAATCATGCTATTTAATGAACACCTCAAACAACATATGGCCTGAAAATTTAACACGCCATTGGCAAATCCTGGTTTGGTGGTCCACAGATAACTACATGTGTCTATTTTGACAGACATACTCAAAATTAACAAGGCATACTTAGTATTCTTGAAAACCACAAATGTTATATTACCCTATGCATTTATATGTTTAAACTCATATTATCTATTTTATAATGTACACGTTCTTGTACCAAACATTCAAAATTACATAAATAATAATGATAAATATAGAATGTTAAAAGGAACAAAGTTGCTGTCAGATTAAAGATAGTCCTATTCACAGATTCATTAACTGGAACAATTTGTCCTCCTACAAATAGGATACCCACAGAAAATTGAAATGGTACAGTAGTATTTCTGAAAATAATACGGTTATTAAAATTACAGGGAAAACATCAAACTGTACCAGGTGCTTAGAAATTCTCAAAGTCTAATCTGGCACATTTACCACTTTTATATTGCAATAAGATAATTACTATAAGCATGTATATAGCATCAAACGGAGGAGGAGGAGGAGGATAGTTTGCGAGGCCTTAGGCTAAACCTGAATAGGAAGCCCTGGTTGATGCACACACAGTGACAGCAAGACTTTTGGAAGGGCATGAGGCAAGGCCCCAGCAAGTGTGAGGCCTTGTGCGCTCGCTTAACTGGCATAATTATAGAACCGCCTTTGGTACCAACATATTCCACAGGGCTTTACAATTCTAGAAAATAAATATTCAGAGGTGAAGAAGGCCCAGCTAAAAAAAAAAAGACAATTTATGGGGATTTGATGTGCTCTAACCAGCTGATAATTCTCAACCTACGGGCCAACAAGGCTTTTCACATTACATCACATTATCCAGTTTGTAACTATGTAAATCAACACTGCACACTTACATTTTTTTGTAGTAACTCTAACTTTATAATGGACTGTTACTAGAGCCCCAGTAATCTGAGTGCCATTTGACGGTGCATTATTTATGGGGGACTGTCTACTTTACAGCATCTCCAAAGTCTGATTTTAGGTTAACAGATTTCCCACAGTTTAAGTTCAGATTTAGGGGAATTAATGGGTATGAAAATATGATGCTATTTTTTTATAGAATCTGTAAAGGTTTATGCCTAATTTTGGTGTGAAACGTAGTTTGAATATGTTCCAGCACCAGAATTCTGATATGTTATAACATCACTAACTTGTTGTATCTACCTGTATTTTGACATGCTGTCCTCTGTGTGACTCAATAAAAATGTGAACATGATAATAAATATATATACTGCTAGACTAATTGCTGTCAATGCTGCCCTGCATGACGCATTTTGTAAAGGGGACTGCAAATAATGTGAAGATCTGATCAAAACAATTCAGGAGCTTTTCTTACCTTTCCACAATTAGTCCAGCAAGAACAGGTTCCTCATAGACCTCCAAAACAGGCTCACTCACAGGAGGCTCTTCCTGCTTTATGGGTTCATCAGGGGGGAGAGTATTAATGGACGGTGGTGTCAGTTCTTCTACGAGGGTTATAGAAACAGGTGATAGTTTGGAACTGTTGTCTTCAGGGATCTCTAGCGTTATTTTTTCCGTTTTTTTAACTTCTTTTTTCTTCGTTTTCCCCATGTTCGAACTTCAACGCCTGTAATCAGTAGCACCTTTACAAAAAAATAAAAATAAATATATATATATATAAAAAGAAAACTGATTACACAAGGACTTAGGATTAAAAAAATATATATATATACATATGTTAGTTCACTTTTCAAGACACAGAATAAACAAAATTTTGTAGCCATTGACATATTCAATATAATGCATTTATATTGTAAATCTACAAGTATATGAAAATACTGTATAAACAATCACATGGTAAATACATACAGATGGCTATAAACCTGATATAAAGCATGCCATACATACTGTAATAAGTACTGGAAAGATGGGGGAGTGAGCCTGGGTGAGCGTCCCGGAAGTGGCTCTGTAACCATAGCACCTAAAACACATCAGACCATTTACTCCATTGGGAACGCCTCCAGGCAGCCATGTTGTGGTTGGCAAATGCCCACTATCTGATTTAAATAGTCTGGAACTTTACCAAGGGATAGTTCTAATCCAGGAACTGTTCAATAGAACCTCCTGTGAGTAGGAGACAAGAACTTTCCAAGGTGTCTGGATCTCAGTGTCTGTGCTCAGCTATGGTGTGGAAATATGGCAAAATAGCCTGGGATAGCCCACACAAAGAATAAACACTTGCCTGCATAGCCATCCTAGGCACCTAGTGAAAAGGAAAAGGCTATTGGGTTTCATGCATACTTTAAAAAAAAAATTAAAAATGTTTTTTTAATAAAATATGTATGAATATATGGGTATAATTCTTAGTGAAATCAATATTTTCATTGGCAGCGTTAAGGGAAAGGTTGATAGACTTTATAGATTTAATTATTTAGTTTTTCTTTTTCTTCTTCCTTCTTTTACTATGTAACTTTTGGATACAATCCTAGAGACGGTTGTTAAACTACAACTCCCGTGATGCCCCGCGAGTAAGGCACTCGCCTGGTAGACAGGAGTTTTGTGCATGCTGATTGGCTAATTCGTCTGTCCTGTAGGAATTACACTTCCGGTAGTTTGTTGTCTGTCCCATTCCTTGGCAGCTCTATGGTGAGATTGTGGAGGTTCCCTGAATGTTGAGCTGCAGATTGGGGGTGTCTCGGCTGACCTCGGGCCCCTTCCTTCAGGTTGCTGTGATGGACCCCCGGTGACGGTGGACAGGCTGTACTCCCAATAATAATCTGCCAGGGTTTCCTACCAGCACTGTGTGTGTGTGTTATTGGCTCAGTAGCCATGTCTGAGAGCACAGCCAGCCAGAATGGCAACAAAGTGCTCATCAAATCCGGGGGGAACCCCAACTTTGAGTTCCCACAAGACCCAGAGCTGGACTTTGATGGTGAGTCTGTCCTTGCAAGGGCTGATGCAATGCCCCAGACATGGAGAGGGGGCTGCACACAGCTGGTGCTCCTTCTAGGGCCATGTGTACACACAGAATACAGATATTAATATTATTATATTACAGCCATGTGTACACACAGAATACAGATATTAATATTATATTACAGCCATGTGTACACATAGAATACAGATATTAATATTATATTACAGCCATGTGTACACACAGAATACAGATATTAATATTATTATATTACAGCCATGTGTACACACAGAATACAGATATTATTATTATATTACAGCCATGTGTACACATAGAATACAGATATTATTATTATATTACAGCCATGTGTACACATAGAATACAGATATTATTATTATATTACAGCCATGTGTACACACAGAATACAGATATTATATTACAGCCATGTGTACACACAGAATACAGATATTATTATTATATTACAGCCATGTGTACACACAGAATACAGATATTATTATTATTATATTACAGCCATGTGTACACACAGAATACAGATATTAATATTATTATATTACAGCCATGTGTACACACAGAATACAGATATTAATATTATTATATTACAGCCATGTGTACACACAGAATACAGATATTAATATTATTATATTACAGCCATGTGTACACACAGAATACAGATATTAATATTATTATATTACAGCCATGTGTACACACAGAATACAGATATTAATATTATTATATTACAGCCATGTGTACACATAGAATACAGATATTATTATTATATTACAGCCATGTGTACACACAGAATACAGATATTATATTACAGCCATGTGTACACACAGAATACAGATATTAATATTATTATATTACAGCCATGTGTACACACAGAATACAGATATTAATATTATTATATTACAGCCATGTGTACACACAGAATACAGATATTAATATTATATTACAGCCATGTGTACACACAGAATACAGATATTAATATTATTATATTACAGCCATGTGTACACACAGAATACAGATATTAATATTATATTACAGCCATGTGTACACACAGAATACAGATATTATTATATTAAAGCCATGTGTACACACATAATACAGATATTAATATTATATTACAGCAATGTGTACACACAGAATACAGATATTAATATTATATTACAGCAATGTGTACACACAGAATACAGATATTAATATTATTATATTACAGCCATGTGTACACATAGAATACAGATATTAATATATTATTATTTTACAGCCATGTGTACACACAGAATACAGATATTAATATTATTATATTACAGCCATATGTACACACAGAATACAGATATTAATACCATTATATTACAGCCATGTGTACACACAGAATACAGATGTTTATACTAGTATTATCGTACAGCCATGTGTACACATAGAATACAGATGTTAATACTATTATCGTACAGCCATGTGCACACATAGAATTCAGATATTAATGATTTTAATATGCACATATAATGTAACTTATACCGTTGTATTCAAGGAACTCTGGGGGAAAAAAAGTTTGGTGTACATTGAATACAGATACTCCAAATCTATTTAGTTGACAAAATATGAATAAAATGAATGCAAATATGTGAATATAGAGTTATTTACACAGATAAAGTTAAAACAATCATTACTAGATGGGCTCTGGCCAATAACAAAGGTGGACTAAGGAGAACTGGCAAATATAACCTTCATTTTTAGTACGATACCTGGTTGTGAACTGTTTATGTGATCACGACATTTTTCCACTTCTAATTTGAGGCACACCCCCACTAAACACTCACATCTCACATGAAGTGAAAATGTCAAAATATTTGGAGCCTACGACGTGCCGTGTGTTTAATTTTATGGTCTATAAAATATGTTATTGATACTGCTTGATAAGGTAAGCCTAGGAGAGGAACCATATAACTTTATGAGGGCATGCTCACAGATACACTGTATAGAAATATGAGGTCACACAGTAGACTGTTTTCTATATCTGTGTGTGAATGACTGGCAATAACAATCTCTGATATTCTAGCTATAGTGGAATATAATATACAGTAATCATGTAGTATATGTATGTATGCACTAACCGTGTATTGGGGGAGATAACAGCTTGTTGGGTAGTGGTCATTCTTTATGACATTAACAGAACCCTTCTTTTGCTCCCTTATTGTTCATGCACTTGCATAGTTCATAGTTATGTTAATCTGTTAGAACATATCATTTTAGTTTTATGTACTCTTTTTCAATAATGGACAGTTTGAAAAAGATCTGTTGTAGAGAGCCTTTTACGTCATACCCTATGAAATAATTGCCCCTTTAAATTGATACACTTTAGCATGAGTATTTAGAATAGCCAGCTCCTACGCTTTGCTTAGCCTTAATTCACATCTCACCCAGCTCATTCAGGCGTATTAACTGAAGTGTGACTTACTGAAAACTCAAACCGGGTTATTCACTAGAGACTAAAGGGATAAGTTTAAGGAATGTAAAGTGAATTTCACAATTTAGGTTAAAATAGATGATTTTAGAACAATTCTCAAAGTCAATTCTGCATTCAGTTTGGCCATTTTGGTCTTATACTTGTCGTTCAAAGCAGTTCTCACTTTTTAGTGAATAATCCCCTTTTTTTTTTTTTTTACTGTAAGTGGTACAGTGAGATATATATATATAGGTACAGAAGTACAGAACTAACTTGTAACAATAGATTATAACGTATTCTGTAGCTACCAGTTTCTGGGACATTCATGTCTCATGTCATTACAGTACCCTTTGGATAAACCTTTTCAGTGGCTACGGGGGTCCCTTGTTTTCCCTCGAGGAGGGTGTGTGTCGTCGTCCGTTAGGGCACCTTCATGGATGTTCAGCCTGACCCTGGCCATGGACATCTGGTGGCATATGGGATCCTCTCTTTCGGGTGAAAGGGTACGTGTTTGTACCAGATTTTAGTTTTATGATGTTAGCCAGTTTAGGTAGAGGAGGTGAATAACCCTTTTTTGAATTCCCAGTAATTCACACTTCAGTCAATAAGCCTGAATGAGCTGTGGCACGGTGAGATATAAAATAAGGCTTTTGGCCAAGTTAGCTATGTTTTCAATATCAATATGATCATTTGGTAATCTTTGAATTAAATATTAAGTGAATTTTAAATCCACGTATCCCTCCCATTTACTCGCTGAATAGCCCCACTAGGGTTCTAAGTAGTAGGGGAAGTATTAGCATGAGCAGCAATAGGAAGCTGTGATTAGCTGAGAGTGTCAGCTGACTGCTTTTAGCCTGTCAGAGCTCCAACTGATGGTATGAATTGGTTTGACAACAAGGAAGTGTGTAATCTCTGCCTTAGCTGCACATACAGAAGGGGCTGGACTGTAGGTGTCCAGGGACTCTTATGTTGTGGCATACTGTACGAACATGGTACAACACTGAATGGAGGGACAGTGCCAGGGCATTCCAGGCACTATAACCAATTCAAAGAGATGAAATGGTTATAGTGACTACAGTGTCCCTTTAAGTTTCCTAGGATGTGCTATATCATGTGGTTAAATAGTTGGTGTAAGCACTCAATACTGAGAATTGGCTACAGCCGTAGTGATTTACAAACAAAATCACTGCATTAGTCAGGTAGTCCAGAACACTTACGGAGTATTGCTGGGAATTCAAAGGGAATTTAAAAATTAAGGCCAAATAAGAAAAAAATGTCCAAAACAATCTTTTCAGCTTGTCTATTTTGGTGTTAAATTTAAATTTCCATTTGAATTCACGATTAATATTACTTACTGAATGACTGTGTTCGTACCAGGTTGCTTATACTGCCATCAGTTTTGTCCCTATTTGTATGGTTGGTTCCAGAGAGAGGGCAATATCGTGGACTTGCTAAACTTGGGCATAGCAGAGTATGAACTAGTAGCAGCTGCAATATGGCTGCCATCAGTTTTAAAGAGGAGTTTAAATCATTCTGTGTTCTGATTATTGCTGCACTTGAGGATAAAACATGGCAAAGATTTATGGGATAAAAACTTTACTAGTAGACTTCCTGGTGTGACAGGGATCTATCTGTGACCGCAGACAGATCCACTAAACCGTGCTCGAAGAGACACATTTTTAGAGGTATGCAACTGTCTCTCTTAAATAATGCTTTAAAAAAAAAAAAAAAAAATACTGGGTCAGATTGTAAATTTCTTAAAAAACGTAAGTAATCCAAACAAGTGTTCATACTCGAGACCGTCAATGACAAGGACAGTATTACCAATGACTTCAAGTAATCTCTGTACGTGTTATTACTGGGGTGTGACTTTGCAAGTCGCCTTTGGCATCAGTCCGTCTTCTTCCATTTAAATAACATATTCAGCAGTATGGCGGCTGTAGATAGCTGCTATCAGCAAATTTTGGGTGTAGTGTATAGGATTCTACATACAAGACAACTTGACACGTATTTGTCTTAAAGGTAATCTGCCTTTTTAAAAGCCTATACGTGGTGACCTGAAATTTTTATTTTTATTTATATATATATATAGCGAGAGAGAGAGATATATCATGACTTGACAAATTGTTTCTAATCTAGGAGCCAGCTAAAAAAGATAGGAGCCATTTTTTTTTTTTTTTTAAATGTACACTATAGTCACCAGAACCACTACAGAGAAAAGGCAGTGTTTACATTGCTGCCTACTAAGACTTCTAGTGACAGTCACTCAGACGGCCACTAGAGTCCTGTGTCTTTGCTCTACATGGAGGCGCTGATTTTTACCCATAGAGAACATGCGTAATATCCTCCCAATGCTTTCCTATTGGAAAGCATTGGCTTAGCTGAGATCATTAAAGGACCACTATAGTGCCAGGAAGACAAACTCGTTTTCCTGGCCCTATAGTGTTAATAGGTTCCCCCCACCCTCAGGGTCCAACTCCCGCTGGGCTGAAGGAGTTAAAACTCCTTCAGCCACTTACCTTTCTCCAGCGCCGGGCTCCCTCATCGCTGGGGAACTCTCCTCCTCCTGCCAACGTCGGCGCCTAATGCGCATGCGGGGCAAGAGCCTCGCACGCATTCAAACCAACCATAGGAAAGCATTTCTCAATGCTATCCTGTAGACGTCCAGCGTCTTCTCGCTGTGATTTTCACAGTGAGAATCACGGAAGCACCTCTAGCGGCTGTCAGTGAGACAGCCACTAGAGGCTGGATTAACCCTCAGGGAAACATAGCAGTTTCTCTGAAACTGCTTTGTTTTCAGCAACAGGGTTAAAACTAGAGGGACCTGGCACCCAGACCACTTCATTGAGCTGAAGTGGTCTGGGTGCCTATAGTGGTCCTTTAAGATCTCCGCTTTGGAGGCAGGACAAGCAACAGCGAAACCGGCACGGCGTGGGGAAAAAGGTGAGTAAAAACACCAATCATGTGATCGGAGGGGGGCAGTACCTAAACAGACACACTCTCTGACAGACATACACATGCAGACACACATACACACTTTCTCTAACACTCACACATTTATATTTTTAATTCTAATCCACCCAGCCTCCCTACCTTTGGGAGAGCTGAGTGGATTTTCCCTGGGGTCCAGTGGGGCTGATATTCCTGCATGCGAGGGAGCAGTCTTCCTGCATCTCCTCTCTGCTCCCTACCACTGTCTGCGGTGATGCCGGGGCTGGAATTATGTCATATTCTGGCTCCCAGTATCACTACACAGTGCGAGGGAGCAGAGATGAGATGCAGGAAGATCACTGCTCCCTCGTGCGCTGCCCGAGCCTGCTGCCTCCATAACTTTCGTGGGCAGCCGGCTACAAAGCTCCCTGGTCTGGCCGCCTCCATGCTCCAGCGGACGGACAGCTACGCAGCTTCCTGAGCCGGCCGCCTCCATACCTCCCAGGGCGTCCGGCTACAATGCTTCCTTAGCGGGTGGGCAGCTGGCCGGCTCCATTGTTTGACCAGCCGGCCACTTTAGGTAAAAGGCTGACAAATCCCAGACGCCAGGGCAAATTTTCTAGTCGCCATGGCGACTTGGTGCCAAAGATTTGTCGAGCCCTGATATAAATATATATCTATATAGATAGATATCTATTTAAATATGGTGGGGAGAAATTGTGATTGAAAACCCCTTCCACCTGAAGTCTGTGGATAGTTAATACAATGTTAAACAAAAATCTGCACACCAGTCAAGCCATAAGACTTTCTTTTCCCATAGCAATCTCACTTTAACAGTGCTCTCACTACTGCAAGGGATTCTTATATAATATATATATAAAGCATTTCTTACTAGTATAATTGTTACCTCCCTGAATTATGCAGGTATGGCATTGAAAATAAATAGATAATACACATCTGAATATCTTTTTGACCTTTTGCAATGTCAAGCCTACAGCTTTGGTTGCTCGAAGCCACATTTTTACATTTATTTATTTTTGTGTTTCTGGGCAATAAATCTCCCTTTTGCTGCCCTGCAGTTTGTATAATTCATATGCAGCCAGTGATAAATAAGTATAACAATCACAAGTTTATTAACGTGCAACACAAATGCATCAAATAATGCACATTTCAATGGTAACGCCATTCGCTAAAAGAGAGTTTTCTGCTTATGCAAGAGAATGTTTGAAACACTCTCAGGTGTATTTTTACAAATTGTCTGCTTGGCGTGTTCTTTAAAAAAAAAAAAAAAAAAAACATCTTTTCATTAGAATTTTGTTTTACCTTACGTGAAGCTTTTATAACCATATAAACCCAATTTCACTGAGAGATAAGGTAGTGTTGTTTTTTTGTTGTTTATTTTCTTTTTAAATACTCTGGTATTTTGTGCGACTGCACGAAAGCGCTTTCCTTGTCTTATCAGTGAGAAAACGTTACCGCCTAATCTCAAACAAAATCCTCTTTTGCCCAGCCTTATCAGCTATCCCTTGCTTGTTATTTGAAATCGGCATGTATGAAAACTGTACCAAAGCTACTTATTGCTGAGAATGCTCTCTCCAGGATTATATAAATGTTTAGTGATTACATCCTGTCTCTCTGTGAATTTATACTGGTCATAAACTGAGCTACCCCTGATAATGGTTGATGGCCAAAAGGGAGATCCCCAACTGCTATAGAACTACAACTCCTACAACGAAAACTCTAAATATAGAAAATGACCCTAAATTTTTTTTTCTTGCATCATATAGAATATTGTATGGGGAAAAAAAATGATTTACTGTCAATTGTTCCATGCTGATGCACTCTGTAGTAGGTCCAATCTGGAGCATTTACTTCTGGTTGGTCGTTTCATATCCATAAACACTTGACCAACAGGCTTCTCCTTCCAGGAGTGAAAGCTCAGACCAAGTTACACAGGCGATATGTACATCGTGGACAAAGCTAATATCAGGAAGCCCTAAAGGGCTCCTGCATGGCCCTTGTTTGCCCTATTGAGCAATCTGGATTCTCCTACTGGAGAAGACAGGATGGATCTGCCGGAGGCCCTAGGTTTCTAGTGGGAGCCAGGTAACGGTTTTAAGGTATAATCATAGATTGACGGATTGGCGAATCCATGGTGCCAGGTCACCATGACAACTCATAAATTGGTTTTGGCACTGAGCGTTCTTTTCCCTGACCATCCCTATGGTGTTTGTGCTAGCCAGGGTGTATCCCATGATACTCTGAGTGCTCATTCGATTAGCAGCACTGAAAGGGTTTGAAATATTGGCACATTCTCCCAGACTTGAAAAGCTATCACAGCATGCAGAAAAGCAGGGCTGCTTTCCTATAATCTTCAAGTAGCGTGTTTTTTTTTGTGTTTTTTTGTTTTTTTTGTTAAATCTCTGAAATGCTCTGGTCAAGTTATCTCTACTATATGACTGCTTATAAACACATAGGAAGAGGAGGTGGCTATGAGCATAGCTGTGTCTCCAGCCCCTCCAATTCCATTTTGGAATACATAATGGCAAACTGATATTTGTGACTGTATATATTGTTGTCCTCATTCCTCTTAAGGCTCAGATAACCATCAGGATGTCTCACCATCATAAGAAATTAAGTCACAAAAGCAACTCCCCCCACCCTTAACTCAATCTCCCTCATCTGCTAAAACTCCCCAATACACCCCCTCCCATGACACAACAATCCCCTTTCCATATTTTGATTAGATATCAAGTTAACGTAGGTATGCAGATCTGTATTAGTTCTTGGTACCCCATCCCCTCTCTCAACACAACCATCATCTTAGATCTGGTTGTCTTATGGAAATTTCCCCAGGAAAGAACTTCCATACAGTATGCATAATTCAGCATATGGACCCCTATGAAGTTGTGGTTAGGTAAATTACTGGTATGGAGAGTGTTATCATCTGTATATTCATGCTGGGTAAATTCCATGGATGCCAAGGTAGCAGCATAGTGTTTGGGTATAAACAGAGGTGTTTGTTGCTGGAGTATTTGGTACAAAGGGTCAGTCGGTAATCTGAAGCATGAGTCAAACCTTTCATTGAGCTATCAGTCACTATTCCTCGGGTCTAGCAGGTGGAGTTGCTGGTAAGTATGGAGAGTCCATCCTTAGAGATGATCGTCTGCAGAGTTGAGGAGGTCTGATAGTAGTCTGGTCAGATGTAGAACAGGTCTTCCAGTCTAGTACCTCTATAGCGGGGGAGATTGAGTGCAGTTGGAAAGTCTAGAACGTCAGACAGGGTCCTTTATAGATGCTTCTGTGTTTCCTCTCCGTGCTGAAAGAGCAAAGGGGTCAGTGTTTGAAGATAACTTCAGATCAACAATGTTTAGGGTCATTTGTATTTTACTGGCTCGTCCCTAAGGTGCAATTCAAACTATCTGTAGTTTTATTCAGGTGCCGGTTCTCGGACCTAGAAGACCAGCTATCCATTCCTTACAAGTGCCCTCTTTGAAATCCTGATAATACACAATCTAGTGAATAATCCTTTTGCCATTTACTGTTGATTAGTCATATAATCTAACACATTTAAAGAACACTGATTTGCCAACTATAAATTGACTTTTTTTTTTTTTAAATTCCATTGTTTTCTCTCTGCAGAAACTGATTCTCCACCTGAACGTCCAGTATTGAATGGCAAAAGACGGTTCCCAAATGTGACGGCCATCCCCAGTCAGCTCCTGCTTGTGTCTCTGGTTGAGCACCTTTGCTTTGTTCATGAGCAAATCCCTCAGCGCTCCAAGTATCTGTTTAAATGTCAGTATTTGTGCACACTGATTGCTTCAGCAAAGTATCAGGGTCAACAAAGTGAAACGAGTTAGACGGAAGGCTTAACGAAAGGGCGAACTGTTTGAACGACAAAGTGGTTTGCTTCACATTTGTTTGCTATGTGATGCTTACCATCTGGCATTCAAATGGTTAAATGTTATGGCATTTATTGTTGGGTCAGACAGCCAAAGCCATGAGCTATCCTTGGACATTTAGCACCGGTGAAGAGCTATGATGCACATATTGTAGACAGTGGAAACTAATATTTGGCAATTGTGGGCTGTATTTTACGTAAATGCTCTGATGACTGAGCATATTGGGTAATGTAGTCTACAAAAACTCAAATTTAAATTATTAGGTGAACTTGTATTAAGGGATTGAATGTTTATACTGGAGGGAGGGAGGGTGGGGAGGGGGGGGGGTACAAAACACATTTCTTTTTTTGTATTGGAACCAGGCCTGCTGGCAAAAGGTTCTTCTGCAACCCTCTGGGGACCAAGTCCATCCAGTCCATGCTTATTAAAATGGTTATGGTGCCAGGCATTCTCTGAATTCCCATGATAAACCAACCTTGTATCTTACAAATCATAAATGCATAGGTAACTCATAATCTAGTCTCCATTATGTCCCTTTTTATTTAATAGGAGCATGTAAAGGACACTCCAAGCACCTAGACCACAACAGCATGCTGCAGTGGTTATAGTGCCTGGAGTGACATGGTGCCTCCCCAGTGTAAGTAGACAAATCATTTTAGTACATTTTGACTTCTTACTTAGGGTCCACCGGTAGTTCCTCCCTACCTCCAATACAGCCTTCAGAGCCAGAAGATCTCTGTCTGAGCTAAGTTTATACATGGCTACATAGGAGCTTCTGGCACCCCGGGTAAGAAGTCAAAATGTACAGAGTAGATTCACAGTAATGATAAATCTGCATATAGTGCACAGGCATTAATAGTAATAACTAAAGGGAAAGCGAATAGCTTAAAGGGACACAATAGGCAGCCGGATCACTTCAGCCTATCGGTCTGATGCCTTGGGAGTCGTGGGTACAAAGTTGCCGCCTGATCAATAGATTTGACATTGTTTTTATTTTGTTTTTTTGCTTCAATATATAATAAATATATTTGTTTAGATGTTATTGCATCTCAGACCTAGCATTAGAAACTTAACTTTGTTTCTCTGCTGGTGGGAGGGTTCTGAATTCTTCTACCTGATCATTGGAATGTTAGACTGAAACATGTATCTGCAAGATTTGTTAAGGTTTTACATAACTTAGGCATTTAAACTATCCTGTGGTGCAGCGGTAGGCAATGTTCACTCCAGATGTTTTAGACTACATTTCCCCTGATGCTTCATCAGCATTATGACTTTTAAAGCATTATGGGAGGTGTAGTCCAAAACATATATATTTAATTGTTTTTTTGGGTTTTGTTTTTTTCCCCAAAACCATTTTTCTTGTGAATGCATGATACAAGACTATGGCATGAGTGACATTATCATTTTCCAACCATCAAGACTGTTTTTATTTTTTGTTTTTTTTAATTTTTTTTTATTGCCATAATATACAGCATGATAAACAATAAATATATAGAACACTCCAGTGGTTCTCATTTAAATGGTTAAGAAGTCCTCCACAGACATGGCCATTGCCAGCTTAGTCTAAGAAGCCTTATCCAAGGATATACCCTGGGCATTTAGTTTAAACATGAAAATGCTCCCCAAGATTGTTCCTGTTACTCTGTAATGCCTGATTAATTAGTAACCATAAACTCCACCTATTAGTAACACACAAGTGAGTAAAGAGAATGCTGGGAGGTTATATTGTCTAGTGAATGATGTACCATTGTTGATTTGATATATATTTATTTACCCCCCCAGTGCTGTGTCAGACCTTTACCAAAATGGGCTTGTTAACACCATTTGCCTTCAGCGATGAGTTCAGCTCAGTGAGACTCCAGCACAGCACAGCAATCACAGAACTGCTAAATGCTGCTAAACGGCACATGTATAAAGAGGTAAGTCTTCCTACACTGGTCAGTGGAGTAGCTGTGTTCTCATGCCAGGATCATATATAAAGGTTACAGTTTCCCTTTCTGGATGTGCTGTCTGCGAAACTGGGTAATTGGTTTGTAGTCTCAGTTCCCAAAGCAACACAAAACTCAGACCTGGTGCCGAGAACTTATCTCGCTGTCAGTCTAGATATCAAAAATATTTATCAACTGACCTAGGGAGCTACAAGGCAGTGGGCAGAGGCAGCTTTTCTGAGCATTCTATCATTCTAATTTGTTATCCCGACTCCCTGTGCCATTTAGTCATGGTTAGGAAGGGGTCTTCTTGCAGCTGTCGGCTTACCCATTACCACATTGCCCATGCCACAATACACTAAGAACTTTTTATAAACAGGAGTAGTTCTAGGTACCCAGGATCCCGTACTCACTGTGCCTAGAGGGGTAATCGCTACACCTCGCTGACGAGGCCCAAAGAAGGCCAAAACGATCATCCTGCCCTGTCTGATGTGCAAATGGTATAGTTTCTCTCTGTAATGGAAAACATGTTGAGATCTGAATGGGGACTAACCAAAGGGCAGGTTACTAAGTTTCTCTAAGCTTTCGCTCGTATTCAGAGTTCTCGTACTCTCATTTTTATTTTATGCTAGGTATACAGTATCTCATATAATGGTAATTACAATTTGTTTAATGATCGTTACAGCAATATGGGCATCAGGTTAATTCTGGGGGGAAAACGACTTTAAATCTGAATGACTCCCATGTCCTAGCGTTATGTTGTCAATTGAGACCTGAGGTTCTCTCCTTGTCTGCACACAATCAAAAATCCTTACATGTTTCTACGTGTCTTTATTTCCATAGGAAATATCCACTGGGGAGTTGAACGCACAACTGACAAGGTATCTATCATAATATTAGATGTTTTAAATTGTAGTAACCCCTCTTCAGCACTAACATGGATCAGTGAGGCAAATCAATATTTATTGCATTACTCTATATAATAATAATAAAAAGGAAACACGTTAAGATTTATTTTGGTGTGTGTATAGACAACCATCCTGTGACTAAAATTGATATTACTGTTTGCGCCTTTCTGAGATGATTTTAGCAGTCTGCGACTTGTCTTCTTTGTGTGTAATATATATGCCACACGCACAATATTGCCAAAATGTATAATGGTTACTCTGGAGAGCTGTTTCCATGCAATTATAAGCTACTTTCGGAGCTGAGAGCTGTTACAGGGTAGTTTTCCATTTCATAAACTATGCAACCAATCCCTTTGGCGCTTGGACGAAAAAAATCTATTCTCTCTCTGAATTCCAGAGTGTTTTCTTATTGTAGACTTTGGAAATATAAGTGAACTCTCGGAGTGTAAGGGGGTTGTATAATATGGAAAAATTTCTTGCAATACTCTAAGGCAAAATGTGCAACTTATGAAAAATACCCATATATCTTGTGTAACAGGACAAAGCACATACTTGCTGATGCACAGACCTCACGCTACTTGAATGAGTTTGATGAGCTTGCTCAGCTTGGAAAAGGCGGCTATGGGAGAGTATACAAGGTAATCTGACGGCTTCCATCAAAGTGCAATCTTTGACACACTGTGCTCTATGTAAGAGTAACACTGTAGCCTGGTTTCTCTCCAGTCGAGAAAATGTTATCTTCTTGTATTCATTGACATAGAAATATGTATTCTGACTGCGTCTAAAAGCCAGCTGGCCCATCTAGCCTACACGTATTGTAAGCACAGACTTTGTGGTTTGGTTTTCAATTCAGCATAACAGTGTGTTTGTTCCTTACTATAGTGAGCTTTTCAAATTATTAGTTTGTGATCATCCCTGCAGGAATCTACAGCCTTTGCTTTTAAAACTATTTCTTGAATATCCCTTCTTTCATCATCTAGTTATATTTCTTTCAGTTCTAGTCCCCACTCTTTATAGAAAATTCCACCTGTGTGTATTTTGTTAAAAAAGACACGCTTAAGCCTCTGAAAGTGTACAGCTCATTGTATTGTTTAGGCAGAGTATTTAGACTTTGGGTGCTGGAGTATGTCTGCCTCAGTCTTCGCAGTTTGGTGTCTAGTGTTTTAGGCTGAGGATCTTTCATTCTGCAGTATCTATGCTGTAGAAGAAGGGCTTGGGTAAGCTTTTTTTTTTATTTTTTTAACTTGCTCAAATGGATTGACACAAAGCAAAAGACAGTGCGTAAAAACTCTATTCAAGTAGAAATGTTTATTGAGAAAAAAATGTCCTCTTTGAAGTCACTGGAGATTTTTAAAAAAATATGTGCACTAGTGCTGTGTTCATTCTGCTCTTGTTTTTGTAGGTCAGAAACAAGCTTGATGGCCAGTTTTATGCTGTTAAAAAAATCCTGATTAAAAAAGTATCAAGGAGTGATTGCAAAAAGGTATGCTTCTTGTAAATTAGAAATATTTTGTCTTTCACATTTCTGCAGTCATGGATTGTGTACAGCTTAATGAAGTGGTTCTGGTGTGTAGGCTGTCCCTGTAGGCTTTTCAGTGTTTACATTGCTGCCTAGGAACACCTCTAGTAGCTGTCACTCAGATGGCCACTAAATGTGCTTCCTATATCAGTGCTGCAATGTGTGCAGTACCTACGTTCAGCGTCTCCACGTTCTGCATGGAGACGCTGAAAGCTCCCCATAGATATGCATTAACTAAATCCATCTCTATGAGGAGCTGCAGATTGGCGCAGTGTAGCGTTTTGCTGTGCTTGCGCAATAGCCTCACAATGCTTTTCTATGGGTAAAAAAATAAGAAAACAACAAATAGCCTAGTTTACTTTACTCTAATGCCCTTGAACCGGTTACACAGGCATAGGAAAGTAGAAAAAAAAATAAGTCATTATTCCTAAATCCTGTGTATGGGCATAACCCATACATCATACATTACAAGACAGAAGTAGTAGCTGGACATATAGTCCAAAAACAATAAGATTAGGGAGAAATTAATAAATAAAAACAAATAACTTTATTACAATAAAAAAAACAATATCCAAGGACTACAAACTGTCTTCTAATTTTATATAGACTCAAATAGGAAAGTACCTTGCATATGACTACCTCAGTGCACCTTAGAGAGTGAATGCTCCTACATACAGCAGGACCCCATTAGAAATAATGTAGAGTCTGCGCTTTGAATATTGGGAAACAAATGCTGTGTCTAAATGGGTTAGCAATACTGTCCAAACTGACTGAGGCCTATACATGCATTAATTCTGTATACCTCGGCATGCTGAAAGGCCATGCCCAACGAGTACCAGCCCTATACAGCTAATTACAATTTGAAAAACGCTATACCCCTAGTGCAGAGAAGTGCCAGACACAAGCTAACAGACAAAACACCTGACAAGCGTGTATACTTTCGTCAGGGAGAAATTAATATGTGTGTTTATGTTCTCTTATTATGCATTGGTTCGTATTCTAATATAATCTACATAAAAGAAGTGACGTTTATTTGAGCTTTATTGTCCCACTTGTTTTTTTTTTTTATTCATGATTCGCATTGCTATGTAAAGCTGTCTGTAATAAACTTAATCCTCCTTTTTTTTTTTTTTTTGGACAGGTACTCCGTGAAGTTAAAGTTTTGGCAGGGCTCCAGCACCCGAACATTGTTGGTTACAACACTGCTTGGATGGAACATGTTCAGCCTCCAAACTCCAAATGTACATTGTTCTCTTTCGATCGCTAGCTCTAACCTTTACATTACTCCAATGCTTCATTGTGAAGGTGTTTTGGGGGGTCTGTAAAACATACAGAGTGATGTGGAGGGTGTTGAACACCAAACATTTTGAATAAAATATCCAGCAGCACAAATCTCGAAATCCTAACCACTCTCGTAATGCTAAAGTTTTACTACCAAATTGGATGGCAGCGATCTGCTCTCATAACCTGTTATTGCTGTTTAAAGTTAGACAGCTGTGGACAGGTAATGCATGAAGCTCTTTCATTACCTCAGTGGTTGAGGCTCTCCAAACGGTGGGTGCCGTGGAGAGATTAAGTTTTTTCTTCAATTTGAAAATAGGAAGACATTGCTCAAAGGAACAATGATCTGTAGTAGTTATTGTATTTTTATATGACTTAATTGCTTATGTGCCATAGTGTGGAACAATATATACTTTGTTTTGGACGACCTTGACAAGGTCATTTAGTTGGAAAGTATAAGGAAGTGACTGCTTGCCATTGTACCATGTCACAGATGTTTCTTGATCATGAAGAAATATACCAGCGTTAAACTCTGTTTGCAGCGTTTCAAAGCAACATGCTGTAAATACAATCTCCAGACGCCATGAACACTACAAATCGCTGAAGTTGTCATGGTGCTTGTAGTAGTCCTTTAATATTACATTTCGTAGGGGAGATTTACCTGCTTTATCCTTTGCTTGTTCATCCTCACTGTTGTGAATGTTGTTGTTGCTGTTTGGTTTGACTGACTGAAATGATACATATATTTTTGTGTTTTTAGGCAAGTCTGTTCCTCAGCTGGTGGCTATTAGAGGGTCTTCTGCACAGAGTTCTGACCAGTAAGTGTCTCATTTGTTTTAATAAACGATAACATTTAACGCAATGTTTAAAAACTATCTGCTTTGCTTTTTTCCTTTTTTAATAGATATTTGTTTTATTTGTTTGTATGTAAATCTCTTTTTAATTGGCTGCAAACCCACCTACACACCGAGCAGATTTCACCTTTTTGTAACCGGCATTACCTGTTAAATGTATGCTTGTTCCCAATCTGCTCCCTTCTAAACGGACAGACTGGGAACAAACTATGCATAGCGCTCTTTATGACAGACACCATGTGGGCCAAGCACTTACACTTTCAGATCCACGCTGCAACCGAATCTCGCTGCTCCTGTCACTACCCTCTGCTTGTTGTTTGAGCTGATCCAAGAGGGAGTGACATCCTGAGCAGGAAATACACTTTTTACAGGGGAGTGATGACAGTGCTTCTTTAATGATGACGTTAGCAGTCGCAACATTTGTGTCTCATTATATGTTAACTGTTTCCTTCCACAGGGATACCAGGGGGATACAAAGTGTAGAAAGCAGTGGTTCCTTTATCACATTTGCAGAGACTTCAGATGGAAATAACACATGTGCCTCCTCGGGAAGCAGTATGTCTGTGTCATCTGTGACTAAGCCGAGGACCCCAACCCCAAAGGAAGGGAATGGTTGTCCAGTCTCTAATGCTCTGTCTGAAAGTCTCAAAGACACCAATTCCAACTTGACATCCACAGTGCACATTTGCAGTAAACTCCACCCACCTCAAGACATCTCTTTGCAAGACTCTTCGGACGAGGAGGATGATTCTAGTGATTCATCCAGTGATGAAGACTGCCCACAAAAGGAATTATGTTTGCATCGACATTTTGAGGTAATAAAGGTGTTGGCGTGCATGTTGTATTGAAAGGAGTACCAGATTTTTTTTCTTGTATATATTTTATCCTACCAGGTGACCAAGTGGGTCTTATTCTTTCTTTGCATGTAAACAAACTTTGGCCTTGATTTTTTTTTTTTAATGTTGTTATTTTTTTTGGATAAGCTTTTAAAAATAATAAGACTATTATTTTGAAAAAAAAATTATATTCTAATGTTTTGATATTTTTTGATTGAGATATATCTAATTTTTTTTACTTACGATATATTTAAAAAAATTATTTTGAAAGTTTTAAAATTATTTTAAGTGTACCCCAAAAAAATGTTACCTTCAGGCCTTTGTTAGCTCAATCTGTATATGGCTGAAACTTAAATTAAGTATTCAAGAACTGTAAAATGTAGGGTTTAAAGGGCTGGTAAAAAGTTATCAAAATGTTTACTGACTTTTAGATCATTCATTGACCAATAATCTAATCATGCATCGGTCTTCCTCTAAACGGATAATTCCATACATCAGTTATGGTTATCTCTGAGATGGGTTTTCCGCTGGCTATGTTACATAATGGATGATGACTTTTTGCAAATGCAATACATTGTATTGTTAGAAAAATGCTTGTGTAGATTGCTATTCTATGTATTAATAACCTGCTGTCTGTAATAAACTTATTTTCTAGATACAGTATCATTTAATGCTGCACATACAGATGAAACTGTGTGAAAAATCGCTATGGGACTGGATAGTAGAGCGCAATACTCGTTACAGAGAGACCAAAGATGCTACCCGTGAGTGATTTCAGTTTTGCTTTTTATTGTTTTTGCGTGAATAGCCCTAACTCTGCAAATTAGAGAAGATCTGTCAGTGGATAAAGATGTGATTTGCAAGGTAATTTAGAGGAACACTCCCAACATCATAACCACTTCATCTGCTTTAGATTGGTTTGATTCTTACCTTGGGTCCACCGAGCCCTGCACCCTGCCTCTCCTGCAGTCTACAGAAAGCCAGAAGTTATAGGTCTGAACTAAGCTTGTCATTGGCTGGGAGTGCTTACTGACTTATAGTGATCAGCTGATGTTCTCAGCCAATAAGCTTACCTCTCTGCATGGCATGGATTAGTTCAGGAGAGCTAAGTAATGTTCCTAATTAGGAGCTTCTGGCTCTCTGTCATAAGTAGTTAAAGCTGAGTCAGATCCTGGTGGACCCCAGGTAAGACATCAAAACATTCTAAAACAATGGTTTGACATCTCCAGGGTGCCAAAACCACTACAGCGCTTTATATATATAAAAAAAATACTTAACTGAACTTTGCCTCTTCTAAAACCATGTTAGAAAATTGGCACCGTTCAATGACTACCTAATCACGCATGTTCATTACAAAGTCTGTGATGTGAAAACATCACTAAATGAATCACATGTAATATAGATCCTAAGCGATTATGTAGTGTCTCAAAGACACTTTCTGTCACAGCTTCTGTAAAGAAAATTAATTGTACGGCTTATGTATAATTATAGACGCTTTAAGATAAACCTGTCCTTCAACAACAAGGTAGATAAAATCAGGATTTTCATTTATTATTGCATTTTTATTTTTTAAATTAAATCAAGTTTTAGTTCTCTAGAATGAGGTCGTATAATCTTGCAATTTTTAAATTTTTTGATAAATTAATTCCATTAATCCATTCACAATGTCATGCGCACCCAGAGGTTTCTGTATTATTATTTTAGATTTTTTCTATTTAGGATATATTGTCTCTGATGCATGGATTTACAGCTCTCAAAACTGTGAATTTGTGTCTGCAGAGATAACATACCTCTTCTCTTCTGCAAAAGAAAAATTAAATAAATAAAATCTGCACAAAGAGCGAAGTGTGAGGAGGGGCAAGCAGTAAAAGTGAAATCTTCTCAGCTTGGAATCTCTGTGGACCTTAGACATAGGCATTCATTTTTTAACAAACCGCAGAGTGAACAAAAATTTAATTTTTTCTTCATTTTATTCAAAAGAAATAACGATCGGAATATAAATGAATGGTTGAATGAACAAATTTCATTTGGCGACATTTACTCATTCATTGAACTTGTGCTGCTGTTCTGAATGAATGAATATTCCCCTGTTGAGGTTTTTTAAAGGATCACTATAGGGTCAAGAACACAAAGCTGTAACTCTGCATGCTGTTTGCCTCAAAAAAAAACAAACAAGCAGTCTGCTGACATCATTAGAAGTGGTAGCCTGATCCAATCACAATGCTTCCCCATAGGATTGGCTGAGACTGACAAGGAGGCAGATCAGGGGCAGAGCCAGCATGATTCAAACACAGCCCTGGCCAATCAGCCTCTCCTCATAGAGATGAATTAAATCAATGAATCTCTATGAGGAAAGTTCAGTGTCTGCATGCAGAGGGAGGAGATACTGAATGTTTGGATCCATTTTAGGCTGCCATGACCCAGGAAGGATCTCTAACAGATATCTTAGGAGTGGCCAGTGAAGTTATCACTAGGCTGTAATGTAAACACTGCATTTTCTTTGAAAAGACAGAGTTTACAGCAAAAAGTCTGAAGTTAATGATTCTACTCACCAGAACAAATTCAATAAGCTGTAGTTGTTCTGGTGACTATAGTGTCCCTTTAGTGCTCAAAGTAAATTGCCTCACTAGATATAAATTCAACATCTGCAGTGGTTCAAGGTCTATTTCATTTTCTGATGAGTAGTGAGTCATTGACTCACATGAAAAACATTTCAGGTTCAATTATTCTATATGGTGGGTTTAGCACTATAGGGTCAGGAATACAGGTTTGTGTTCCTGACCCTAAAGTGATCCTTTAAGTTGTGGAATACTGAGGCACTTGAAACTACAGAAGCCTGAGAGGCTTTACAAAAAAAAAGTCTAGATTGTAATGTGTTAACTCAACAGAAAACTATGTTCGGTAACCGAACTAAATAGAAGGAAAGTAAAACTGAAACATGTGGGAGCAACGTAGCTTCCAGTCTTAAGCGAGAGGTTAAATTTGGCATCCGTGGGAGTCAAGTGGCTAGTGAGTCCTCTCGTTCGGTTCTCAGTACAAATTGCACGAGTGCTGGTCAAGCTGAGCCATGGTTGAATCTACGATGCCCAGCTCTGCAAGCATAGTGGGTTCTTCTGCCATTGTGGCGATCTTGTGGGTAGTCCTATTGTGATTAATGAGAAGGGATCTCCGTGACCCCCATCTGTATGTCATACCTGCTGAGCGTAGATGACTGGTTAGTGGGTTGAGATTTTCACCATTGTAGTGTGGCTTCAAGTCGTTGTAGAAGGTCGATTCCTCAAATAAAAGTGGGGTCTTTCCCCTTACTGCTGCCATTATGTGGCTTTTATCATGAGGTAAAGTGCAAGAAGGATGACATCTCCAAGAGTTAATGCAGACATTTTTTAGGAGTGTGGGGAGATGGTATATCCTGGTTAGAATTCTTTTTTCCACAACCACTGGTGGTAGTATGGAAGCCAGCATTCTCCGTACATACGGTAGTACAAGTCTGCTCCCATGATCTTTGACGGTATGCATCAAATCTTTACATGACTGCGACAAAGTCTGTCTGTTTTTGTGCTGATAATTGCAATGAAAGAGCCTGTTGGGTATTGTACAGCTCTAGTATGGAGTCCTTTTTTTATTTTTTATAATTCTTTATTTTTGCAGTGCATATCAAGAGTATTCATGTCAGCTTGTGGTAGATTGCGAGAAACAGATAATGGTTGCAGGACATATTATTAGAACAGTAATCAGAAAAAACAATGCACTTTTTTTATATAGTATAGATGAACAGTCAGGAGTCAGAATTTCAGGTTAGATTCTGTTATAGTTGTCAGGCTAGGTATGGCTTGCTCGTGGGTTGAGCAATGTCTTATTGTGTAGGTGGTGCAAGTAATTATCACTCTGCGTTCTTGTGCAGCCTCATTGTAAATATGTGGTTCGGGGGGGTGAGGGGCTTGGGTTGCTATGTGTGTGTTGGCATGCGGGTTGTCTTGACCCAGCCGGGTCTGATCAGGAGACCTCCAGGATGGGTCGGTAGTGAATGCCTCTACCTATTGTCTAGCTTGCCGGTGCAGGGTGTGTGGGGTTGAGTGATACATACTGTGTGGCCAATTATTTCTGACCCCTTACCTAAGGGGGCCACGGGGGGGGGGTAGGGGGTGGTCTTTAGCGTGCTCGGGCTGGAGTCGTTAGTAAAAGAGGTGAGGGTATAAATTGGAGTAACTTGCGTGTAACAGATTCATTTAAATTATACATAACATGCATAGAACATATACAAGAGAATTAGGTGTAAGAGGACACCGTTGCTGGCACACGATTCATGTGACTGCCTCCTTTCCCTTGTTTCTTCGTGAGACAAATGGAACAGTCCTGCCAGGGTCTCAAGTGTGTAGTAGTGGTTGAGTAGAAGGGGTCGTAGCCCCCTGTGCAATGCCCAGCGACTGAAGGAAGGATGAGGCCTCCGATACAGAAGTGAGTTTCAGGATGGTATTGTCCCGGGTGACCGCTAGGGCCCTAGGCAGGAGCCATCTGTAATCCACTTCCGCTGTGTGGAGGAGGGTGGTAATTAGCGTCAGCGTTTTTCTCCATAGTAGTGTGTTACGGCTAATGTCCTGAAAAAGGTAGGCTGGGAGGATTCAAATGTGTATGGGGTCCTGTCCCGTACTGCTGGTAAGCGGCGTTTGTCCAGTAGAGAGTGGCATCTCACTATGACATCTCTTGGGGCTGTTGTGGGTGCCTGCTTGGCTTTGTTAATTCGGAATTGTCCGTCAAATTCCATTTTTTTGGCTTGCGTGTGTGGCAGGAGTTCAGCAGTGAGTCTTCTTAAGTAGTGCGGTAGTTCGGTTGTGCCAACGGTGTCTGGGATTCCCCAGATTTTTATATTTTTCTGTCTGCTACGGTCCTCTATGGTGTCCAATTTTGTTTGGACTGCTGTGTGTGCAGATTGCAGTTGGCGGAGGGTGTCCCCATGTCCTTCACCTCCTGGCGTAAGTCTATGATGTTGTCTTCTGCGGCCTGGACTCTTGTGGTCACAGCTTGTATCTCTGTGCGGGCCTTGTTTAACCCCTTAAGGACCAAAATTCTGGAATAAAAGGGAATCATGCCATGTCACACATGTCATGTTTCCTTAAGGGGTTAAGTCTGCTTCATACATTTGCTTCACCTCTTGTAAGAGCTGCCTGATGTCGTGCTTTGTGGCCGGGGCCATGTCATCACCCTCACCTTGTAGAGTGTGTTGTGATTGGGGTTGTTGATGTTCACCCTGGTCCTCTGGACTCATCGCTGAGCAGTTAGAGCCCGTCTCCGGGACAGGCTCCTCCGCCATTTTGTGGCTCGTGGGTCACTGGAGCAGAGTCCCGATGTCTCGGGTGTCTTTGACCGCTCCCGCTGGCTGTTTTGGGGTTTTACATCCCATTTCTTTGTCGAGGGGTAACGACTGCTTGTTTGTGGGCGGTGCCTGGTACCCGAGAACTTGGAGCAGCTGCAAGGATAGCCGTGAGGCCTCTGTTGGTGATGGGGCAAGGTAGGCCCGACTTTTGCTGCAGGTTTTTCTGCCCTTTTGGACAAATAAGAAGGGCATCAGCGGGTGTCCCCTTGTGACTGGGAGGTTTGGGTGTTTTTCCCGCCTGACTGGGACTCAGTGTGGCCATGGATGGCTTTGGATTTGCCGATGACCCGGGGGAGCTCTGAGAGATGGTGTCCATACGGTTTGGTGGTTAAGCTCCGCCCCCTAGTATGGAGTCTTTCATTGTGGACACTCGCATTTCCGTGATGTCCCTCTCTCACCTTTTCAGCGACCTGTTGCATGCTTGTTTTGAGGGCAGGCAAATCTGCTCTCAGCACACTTTGTCATGTCATGTAGCATTTTCTGCATGTTTTGCAGGTCTTTTTTAGTTGCTGGGACTGAACTCCCCTTTGCGGCTGTGACCGGTGTATTTGTGCTTTCCTGTGTGGTCTGTTCTAGTGGTGAGTAGCGTGTGACTGCTGGGTCGACCAGGCCTTCTGTGGCCTCCATCTTGGCTGGTGGTTGCCGTTGCAGCAAGGTTCCGATATCTCATTGGTCAGCCGAATTTCCAGGCTGAGGTCTCTGTGATCTAGGTGGTGTTAGGTAGGCCCCGGCTCTGCGTTTCGGCTTGGCCTGCTTTTGGGTGTGTAAAAAGGGCATTGAGTGATGCAGCAGGAGTCCCTCTGGTCGGGCCCACAGTTGAAAGGTTGGATGGCGTGTAGAATTCAGATTCTTTTAGAGTATTAGGAGCGGCCAGAAATGGCGCCTGGTCCGTCATGCCGGCAAGCTCTGCCTCCCCTGTAGGGTTTTTTATAATTGCCACTTTATCCCTGGGCTCATGTCCAGTTTTTATTTTATCAGGATCTGGGTGTGTGCATGCGTATGCATGCATTGCAAAGCCTTTCTTTAAAACAAATTTATTATTTTACTTTCATTTTGCATTAATCCTAATTCACAGGCAGGATTCATTCATTTCCATAGGGATTTATGGTCATCGGAAATTCAAACAATAACGAATTTCAGCCAAACTAAAAAGTTTACAAAACTAATGGGGAAAAAATTTTTAAAAAAAATGTCTCCGTGCACATCTGTATATAGCATGGTGTTTATTATTCTCTCACTTGAGTAGAAAACCTGTAATGGCATCAGGCTATAAAATAGACCCAGTTTTGGAATATTTTATGCATGTGTGCAAAAACATCCACTAGACGTGCTTTCCTAATGGGAAGCTTGGATGCACACATCATATCCCAATGATGAGCATTGGATTAGCGATCAATGGAGGTTTCATTTTTATGTATATGATGACCAATGGTGTATGTGCTAGCAAGGGCTTCTAAATTTAAAGGGACACTATAGTCACCTGAACAACTTTAGCTTAATGAAGCAGTTTTGGTGTATAGAACATGCCCCTGCAGCCTCACTGCTCAATCCTCTGCTATTTAGGAGTTAAATCCCTTTGTTTATGAACCCTAGTCACACCTCCCTGCATGTGACTTGCACAGCCTTCCATAAACACTTCCTGTAAAGAGAGCCCTATTTAGGCTTTCTTTATTGCAAGTTCTGTTTAATTAAGATTTTCTTATCCCCTGCTATGTTAATAGCTTGCTAGACCCTGCAAGAGCCTCCTGTATGTGATTAAAGTTCAATTTAGAGATTGAAATACAATTATTTAAGGTAAATTACTTATCTGTTTGAAAGTGAAACCAGTTTTTTTTTTTTTTTTTTCCAATGCAGGCTCTGTCAATCATAGCCAGGGGAGGTGTGGCTAGGGCTGCATAAACAGAAACAAAGTGAATTAACTCCTAAATGACAGTGAATTGACCAGTGAAATTGCAGGGGAATGATCTACACACTAAAACGACTTTATTTAGCTAAAGTAATTTAGGTGACTATAGTGTTCCTTGAAGTTTAACCCCTTAAGGACCAAACGTCTGGAATAAAAGGAAATAATGACATGTCGCACATGTCATGCGTCCTTAAAGGGTTAAAGTCCAGATATAAAAAAAAATTTAACCCCTTAAGGACCAGACTGTTTTTGCGATGTTGTACATTTGCGACCAGGCATCTTTTTACACTTTTGTGGTGTTTAGCTGTAATTTTCCGCTCTCTCATTTACTGTTCCCATACAAATTATATATTTTTTTTTTTCAGGACAAAAGGGGCTTTCTTTACATACAATTATTTATATAATCTCATGTAATTTAATTTTAAAAAAATGAAAAAATATTAACAATTGAAAAAAAATACATGTTTTTTTACTTTTACTTGAAAAATATTTTACTCATCTACAAAAGCGAATGAAAAAAACTGCTCAATAGATAAAAAAAATTGTCCTGAGTTTAAAAATACCCAGCGTTTACATGCTTTTTTGCTATTGTTTTGCATGTTATAGGGCTATAGGTACAAGTAGGATATTGCGGTTTCAAAACATACATTTTTAAAATTTATCAATAGTGACATTGTAACACTATTATCTGTCATAAATCTCTGAATAACACCCCACATATACATATTTTTTTTTTTTTTTTTATAAATTCTTTATTTTTCAGGTTTAGGTGAGGTAAAGGGTACAGAATAAAGGTAGGGGTAGGGTAGTAGTGTCATTCAATAGCTTTACAGTTTTGTTTCGACTCAATGGCATTGGTACGATTTATTGCGAAACCTCAGAACAGTCTTCTAGGTTAAGTGGTACAGTTTTCTATGTCTCAGGTGGAGGTTGTCACTTGGCTTCGGGTCCTGTCGTTTTTGTCTCTGAGAGCGTATGTGGCTCTTCCTGTGTTGTGTTTGTCAGGTTTTGTCTCTTTCGTTTCTGTTTGGGTCTGGGGTTTGGGTTGGTGTGTCTGTTTTGAGTGCGGGTAGGGTCCGTGTGGGAGTTTGGTGGTCTCAGCCCATGGGTGGTCGCCTCATATAGGCTGTAGATGTGGAGGGTTTCCAGTGTGATGAGATCTGGGTCTACGCCTAGTGTCTGAGGTTGTCCTCTTATATTCGCATCTACTGCTGGTGGTCAGGTTGTGCGGAGTGTGGTATTTTGTTAAATGTTGGGCGAGTTCCCCAGTCTTGTGTTTGTGCATTGAATCGTGAAGTTGGTGTGGGGGGGGGGGTATGTGTATAGGGTTGGGGGGGTCTATGTGGGGTCCCAGTGTGTTATTAGTAGGGGGTCTGGTTTTGGGGGGGGGAGGGATCGCGGCTTGTTCCCGGGTCCTCCGCTTACGGTGCCTGTAGGTGGTGTTGGGTCCATGGGTCCCATATCTTGTGGAAGTTTCGAGTTGTGTCGTGTAGTAGGGCGGACAGTTTGTCCATTTCCATTGTTTCTTGTGTTTTGTGGATCATCGTGGTTAGTTGGGGTGTATTCTGATTGCCCCATTGTTCTGCTATTGTTCTTCTGGTAGCTAACGCTAATCTGGCCACTAGTTTATTTTGCGCTCTGGTGAGGGGAGGGTGGGGTTTTGAGAGCAGCCATATCCAGGGGTCTCTTGGGATATCTGTTTCTAATATGTCTGACGCGAGCGTGCTCACTCTTTCCCATATTTGTAGGACTTGGGGACATTCCCACCAGAGGTGAATGTAAGTGCCCTTCTGTGTGCAGCCTTTCCAGCAGGTGTCTGTGGTGGCGAGGCCCATTTGTTTCAGTCTGAGCGGTGTGAGGTACCATCTGAGTAGGGTTTTATAGGCTTGTTCTTTATGATTAACGCAAATGGTAAGTGAGGCCGTGGCTTCCCATATGTCTGCCCAGTCTGTAGGGTCTGCGGGGGGGCCTATATCTCTTTCCCAGGCCTTGGTGTAGGAGAGTGCGTCCTCTGGGGAGTTTGAGTTTAGGAGTGAGTATATTTTTGTGATTTGTCCTTTCTGTATGGGTGCGTGGAGGCATGTATTTTCGAATTGTGTTGGTTTGGTAGTGGCGGCCGTCCTATTTTGGGGTTCGTTGAGAAAGCTGCGAATCTGTATGTAGCGGAAGTGATCGAATGTGGTCAGGGGTGTTTGTTTGGGGAGGTCCTGGAAGGGGCAGAGTTGTTGGCCTTGGAAAAAGTGTAGGAATCGTAATAGTCCATTGTCCTCAAATCGTGAGAAGTCTTTGGGAGTTAGGCCCGGGGGAAATTGCTTGTTTCTTAGGATAGGTGTGAGGGGCGATGGGTTGTTGATTATGGGATGTTTTGATGTGATGTCGTCCCAAATGAGAAAAGATGTGGTTAATGTAGGGGTGGTTAGTGGCGTGGGTGGTCTGTCCTTCTTGGGCAGCCAAAAAAGTAGTGATGGGTGGTCTCGTCCCAGGAGATCGTGCTCTAGGTCTACCCAGAGCTTGAATCCTGGTGGTGCGTGCAGTTGTTGTATTTGGGCCAGTTGGGCCGCTTGGTAGTAATGGTAGAAGTTCGGGAGGCCCAGGCCTCCTGATTTTGTGGTTTTGTACATTGTGGATCTTTTTATGCGCGGTCTCCTGTTTGACCAGATAAATCTGTCTATGTGTACCTGGAGCGTTTTAAAGTCGTGTTTGGAAATGGGTATTGGTAGTGTTTGGAAGAGATAGAGGAATCGGGGGAGGAGATTCATTTTTATTGAGGCTATGCGTCCTATCCAGGATATGGACATAGGTCCCCATTTTTGCAGATCTAATTGTGCTTGGTGGAGTAGTGGTGTGTAGTTCAGGGCATATAATGTGTTCAGGTCTGCTGGGAGATATGTTCCTAGGTATCGTATATTGCTTAGGTTGTATTTGAATGGATGGGTTAGTTGTAGTTGTTCCAGGGTGTGTTGTGGTATTGCTATCGGAAGGGCCTCTGTTTTCTCCAGGTTTAGTTTGTATCCCGAGAGGGTTGCGTATTGTTGTAGGAGTGTTAGTAGGGGTGGTAAAGATTGGATGGGGTCTGAGAGTGTGAGGAGGATGTCGTCAGCATATGCCGCTATTTTGTATTCTTCTGATCTTATCTTAATGCCCTGTATTGTCTGATCATTTCGTATGTTTTGGAGAAGAGGTTCAAGCGAAAGGGCAAATAAGAGTGGTGAGAGTGGGCAGCCTTGCCTCGTCCCGTTTTTGATTACAAATTCTGGGTGTTTAGTATTGGGGATAAGAAGTGTGGCCGTGGGCTGGTCATAGAGGGCTTTCAGGGCGTCTAGAATGGGGGTCGGGAATTTGAATTTCTGGAGGGTGGCAAACAGGAATGGCCAGAGCAATCGGTCAAATGCTTTTTCAGCATCCATTGATAAGAGGAGGGTAGGGGACTGTCTTTTGTGTGTTACCCAGATCAAGTCAATTGTTCGTCTCGTGTTGTCTGCTGCCTGTCTTGTGGGGATGAAGCCTACCTGGTCAGGGTGGATTAATTTCGGTAGGAGTAGTTGGATCCGGTTGGCTAGGGTTTTGGTGATTATTTTAGTGTCTACGTTGAGTAGAGAGATGGGTCTAAAGTGGCCTGGGTCGAGATGTGTTTTGTCCGGTTTTGGGATGAGGCAGATGTTCGTTCTGAGCATTTCTTTGGGGAGTGGGTTTCCTTGGAGGAGTGAGTTCCCTAGAGCTGTGAGGTGCGGTATTAGTGTGCTTGCGTATGTCTTATAATAAAGACCTGTGAATCCATCCGGTCCTGGGCTTTTGTTGGGTTTAATGGTTTTTAGTGTGTTTGCCATTTCCTCCGTCGTGATAGGGGCAGACAGTCTTTCTATCTCCGTATTCGTTAGTGATGGGAGAGGAGTGTTCCGGAGGTATGTCTCGATGTCATGTGTTAGAGTTGGCGATGGATCGGGGTTGTGATTTATAAAGTGTTGTGAAGTATTGGGAGAAAATCCTCGCTATACTATCCGGGCTTTCGTGTGTGCTTCCTCTCGGGGAGTTTATTTTAGTAATGCGTTTATTGTGTGTTTTTTGGCGTAGTTTACGGGCTAAGAGGGTGTCTGCCTTGTTTGATTTTTTAGTAAAAGAGCTGTTTACTCCATTGGAGGGCTCTTTGTGAATCTTTGGCCATGTAGGATTTGATGGCTTGTTGGTGGATTTTGATCTGTGTTAAGATCGGTGGGGTTGGGTGTTGTTTGTGTTGAATCTCTAGGGCTCTCAGCGAGAGGAGGTGGTCCTTCAGTTCCTGCAATTTTTGCTTTTTGTGTTTTGTGGCCTCCGCTATTAGTTTGCCCCTTATGGTCGCTTTGTGTGCTGCCCATAATATGCCTGTGGATTCTACTGAGTCCTTGTTGAGTTGGAAGTACTCTGTGAGTGTCGTTTGGGTGGACGCCCTTATTTCAGGGATGTGTAGGAGTGTTGGGTTTAGTCGCCATGACCATGTTCTAGCTGTTTGTGGAATTGAGAGTGTTAGGGTTATCTCTGCGTGGTCGGACCACGTGATCGTGCCTATAGATGTTGTAATGTCTTGGGTTAGGAGGGACGGGGATATCAGGAACATATCAATCCTAGAGTATGAGAGATGAGGGTGAGAATAAAAAGTGAAGTCGAGGGTTGTGGGGTTTTGCATTCTCCATACATCTTGGAGACCTGAGTGGAGTACAAAGTTCAAGAGTAGTTTGTCTATTTTGGCTGCTGGGGTAGTTTTACCAGTACGTGTGGGTTGTCGTTGTCGGTCTGTTTGGGGGTTGATGACCGCGTTAAAGTCCCCCCCTGTGATCATGTGGTGGGAGGGGAACAATTTGAGGTGGGCCTGGATGGCTGTCCAGAAGGACGGGTCTGGGTTGTTGGGGGCATATAGTGTAGTGATCGCGTATTTGTGAGTGCCTTGCTGTCCTGTTATAGTGAGAAATCTGCCTTGCGGGTCAGCTATAGTGTTTGTGAAGCTGATGGGGCATGTGTTCCGGATGAGTATTGCCACTCCATTACGTTTTCCGGTTGGGGAGTTTGCTAAGTGACATTCTTTGTAGTGTCTGTTTCTGAGTGGGAATGGTCTCGAGGTCTCAAAGTGTGTTTCTTGGAGGAGTATTACGTCTGCTCCCGTTCTATTGGCCCAGCGCATCAGCTGGTGGCGTTTAGCTGGGTTGTTTAGGCCTTTGCAGTTGAGTGAAATGCACTTCATTGTGCTGAAATTGGTTGGGGGTGTGGGTCTGTTTAGTGATTTAGATTGCGAAGGACCCAGGGTTTCTCGCCCGATTGGTTCCGGGGGGGGGAGGGGGGGGTTGTGGGGAGTGGGGTAAAGGTAAGGGTTGTGGGGTTTTAGTATCTAAAAAGGGGTGAAGAACGGGGTGACGGTGTGCCCTGGTCTTACTATAGGATCGCCAGGTGGTGTTGGGGGGGTTGTATGTGGTGCCTTAAGGGTTGGGGTAGGTGTGGTGTGGTCCCCTTGTGGGGGGTACTGTGGGTTGTGGTGAGGGAGAGAGGAGGAAGGTTTTTCACATTCCCGGTACCCTCTCTCCCCCTGCACAATTGCCAGTGTATCACTCACGGTTGGTCGGTGGGTTCTTAGTCGGTTCGTTGTGTCTATTCTTAAGGTGGTTTATTGGTACGGGGTAGGGATGCTCCGTTTTCGGTCTTTCTTTCTTCTGTGTCATATGTGAGTCTGTGTTGTCACTTGTGAGGTTCGCTTGGAAGAGAAAGAAAATATATTAACATATATACAAGAAAAACATTAACATTTTGTAATAACTGTGGTTTTTGCCTCTGCTTAACCTGTGTGTTGACTTCCAGGGAAGTTAATTATCTTGGGTAACTGCCTAGATGTGCCTTGTGTGGGTTTTCACTTAATTCTATCCCCCCTCTCCTCCCCTTCTACGTTTCTTTTTTAAAAACCCGGTTTCGTCTTCGTCCCACTCTTTCTTCCCCCTATCCTGCTGTTGTCTTGTCCATTGTATGATCAGTGTCAGTGTTATGTGTGTGTGGTGTCCTTAGTCTGGGAGGGTGTAGTGAGTGTTATTGTGTCTAGTGGTCCATCTAGTCTGGAGTGTGATTCACCCTCTTTCTTCTTGCTACTAGGCCCTACGTGGTCAGTCTTGTCTCTCCTTCTCTGCCTTATCCCCCATTACCCTCGTGGTAATCATGTTCTACAGTGTAGAAGATTGCAAGAGTAATGTCTCTAGAGTTCACGTATTTTTCGTTTGGTTCTCTCTTCAGATCCGAGGCGGTTTTGGAGTGGGGATGTATTTCACTGGGTCCGTTGGGTGTAAGGTGGTCAGGGCTCGGTGCGTTGGTGATTTCTCCTCTGGTGTTGTTATGAGGGTCAAGCTGTGTCCGTGATGGTTTCAAAGGGGTACCGGTCCGGTAGTGCGGTGCGGGTCAGTTCTTGTATGGGGGATGTTTGAGAGTGTCGAGGGGGGACCTCTTGGTTTTATCTCGGGGTGTGCCCCTGAGGGGGGGTTGCCATGGGCTTGGGGTTCTCATTGCTGTTGGTTCTGGATCCATGGGGCTGATTCTTCGTGGTTAAGTTCCTCTTATTTGGCGTCCGTCCTGTACTTCTAGCGGCCTGAGCGGTGCGGCGGGGATTGTTCCCCTTGACGTCTAGCAGCGGTGTTGTCTTCTATGGCGTGGGGGGGTCTTTTCTGTTTGGCCGGATGCGGGGATGCAGCCCTGTCTCTGGAGCGGTCTCTTCCCCTGTATCCCGTTAGTGGTGTGGGATTCTGGAGCTGAATTCCTAGAGAGTCCGCCATCGGGCCCATTTCTGCGGCTGTGGTGAGGATATGGGTTTGGTCGCCTTTTTTGACCAGCAGTTTAAAGGGGTGGCCCCAAGTGTATTTTAGCCCCTGTTCTTGGAGGGCCAAGGTGAGGGGTTTTAGATCTCTCCTCTTCTTTAATGTAGTTGGGGCCAAGTCCTGGAAGAAGGTTAGGTGGACGTCTTTATACTTGGGAGGGCGGTTTCTGGCTAGTTGCATTAGTTTTTCTTTGGTTTGGAAGTAGTGGAGGCGGATAATTACGTCTCTTGGGGTAGAGAGGTTCAGATTTGGGGGTCGTAGTGCTCTGTGAGCCCGGTCCATTTCCAGGAGTGGCAGCGGTAGTTCGGGTGCCATTGCAGAAAAGATATCTTTCAGGGTGGTGCTTAGGGTCTCTGGCTGGACTGCTTCGGGCAGGCCACGGATTCGGATGTTATTCCTCCGTGATCTGTTGTTAAGGTCCTCCAGGTTGTCCTCCATGGCCGTGAGGCGGCCATGGAGGTAGGAGATTTCCTGGGACTGCGAGGTGGAGGTAGCTGTCAGTGCAGTGAGACGTACCTCTGTCTGGTCTGTGCGGGCAGTCAGTGTCTGTATTTCTGTTCTGAGGCCTGCTAAATTTCTAGTGATCTCTTCTGCCACGTGGGATTTTATGTCCACTGTGGCCTCCTTTAGCATGTCCCTGAGGCTCCCGATGGTGAGGGGGGTCGAGGGGTCAAGTGTGGGATCGGGCCCCTCTGAGTCAGTACCTTGATCAGCTCCTTGATCGGAGTGGGTAGGCCTCTGGGATTCCCCCGGCGTGCGGAACATGGAGGCTACCGACGGGGTGAGCTCTTCTTTCCTTTTCTTCCCGCCGCCCATATTGTGGAGCCTGATGCTGGGTGGTCGCCTGGGGGCTGTTTGGAGGGTGTTTGGGCCGTGTGTGATGCGGATGATGGCTGATTCTGTGCCTGGGGGAGAGGGAGCTGTGGGATCAGGCGTCCATCTTCCTCCGAGGTTAGGCTCCGCCCCCCATACATATTTTTTTTAAAGTAGAAAACCCAGAGTATTCAATATGGGGTATGTCCAGACTTTTTTAGTAGCCACTTAGTCGCAAACACTGGCCAAAGTTAGCGTTCATATTTGTTTGTGTGTGAAAAATGTAAAAAAACTAAATTGAATGCTAATTTTGGCCAGTGTTTGTGACTAAGTGGTTACTAAAAAAGACTGGACATACCCCATTTGCAATACCTTGGGTTGTCTTCTTTTGCAAATGGTATGCCATCATGGGGGTAGTTCTCATTCCTGGGCTACCATACGCTCTCAAAGGCAAAGTAACCAACCTGGCCATTTTCAATGTAAAAATATTTCACCCTGTAACTTTCAAAAACGCTATAAAACCTGTACATGGGGGGTACTGTTATACTCAGGAGACTTTGCTGAACATAAATATTAGTGTTTCAAAACTGGAAAACGTATCACAACAATTATATCATCAGTAAAAGTGCTGTTTGTGTGTGAAAAATGCAAAAAAAAAAGTCACTTTCACTGACAATATCATCGCTGTGATATGTTTTACTGTTTTGAATCATTAATATTTGTGTTCAGCGAAGTCTCCCGAGTAAAAAAGTACCCCCCATGTACAGGTTTTAGGGTGTCGTAGAACGTTACAGGGTAAAATACAGTGCTAGCAAATTAAATTCTCTGGACTTTTGGCCTGGGTTGGCAGGCAGGTTCCTCAAATGTAAAATTACTTAATTAGGTAAAACTATTACATAAATACGCACATAGAATTTAAATATATAAGCATATTTATATATTTGAAGTCTACGTGTATATTTATATAATTATTTATGTAATTTTGTATATGGACATATGTATATTTTGTATTTTTATTTATTTATATATACATAGATATATATATACAATTTCATTCTTATTTTATTTTATGGTTCAATAATGAACTTGCGTTGTAAGACACAGCCACCCCCCCTACAGCCATTAACCAGTCTTTAGAAATGCTCAATTTGTGACATTCAATATAGCATACATAGAAATAAAATGTCATTTGATCTCTTCTCAGGTTGCTTTGATTTTGTAGATGTCAGGTGCACAATGAGAATTTTTTATCAGCTTCTAGAAGGGGTACAATACATCCATTCAATGAAAGTCCTGCACAGAGATCTCAAGGTAATGCTTTTCACTATTTTTCGTTCTGTAGTACAACCTTTAGTGCACATCTCGGGTAAACATTTAAACCTGTTTATCTCTATTTTAACTTAAGTCTAAGAAATAACATGGTTATTAATGCAAGCAACCTCTCTATCACCAGATTCTTACTTGCACATCTTGCACCAAAACATTTAGCTAAATTAAGCAGTTTTGGAGTATAGATCACTCTTCTGCAGTTCCGCTGCTCAATTCTCTGCCATTTAGGAGTTAAATCACTTTTTGTTGCTGTTTTATACAGCCCTTGACACCTCCCCTGGTTGTGACTCAGACAGCCTGCATGAAAATCGTTTCAGCACAATGTGTTCACTTTAGAAGTTTGTATCTCCTGTTCTTTTATCTGAACTTTAATCACACACTTGAAATTCCTGCAGGCACTAGAATGTTATTAAAGGAATACTATAGTCACCCAGACCACTTCATCTCAATGAAGTTCCTGTCCCCTTAACCCAGCATGTAAAACATTGCGGGTTTTGAGAAACTGCAATGTTTACAGCCACTAGAGTCGCTTTGATTGCAAAGACAGAGTAAAACTCAGTCATGTTACACAGAAGTCCTAAAGGAAAACTGACTCAGTGCTTTCCAGGGGAAAGTTTAAATGAGCACACTGCACTCACCGTGCATGTGCACCAGCTCAGTTGTCAGTCTTATTCTGCTCACTCATATGTTGACGATGAGAGGGTTAAAAATGGAGTGTGCGGTTTAATTTCTTACCTGCTGCCACTCCCCCTCAAATGAACATCAGATGGCGATTAAAAAAAAAAAAGGTTACCTAGTGGGACCTACTGAATGGTTTCCCCATTGGTGGTGGGTGAGGGTTATAATTGGTACAATGTTATTTAGTTATTTAAATATTCTCCTTTTAAACAAAGCTGATATTTGTTATTATTTTTGATTGGAGCTGTGGCGTTTGGGTCTGTATGGTTTGACTAGAGCAGGGGTTCCCAACCAAGTCCTCATGTACCCCCTACCAGTCTAGGATTAAGGGATTAACCTATTGTGTCTAAAGTGTTTTTTTTTTTTTTCTAAAAACACATTGGACGCAACTGGGTAATCCCTAAATCCTGGACTGTTAGGGGGTACTTCAGGACTGGGTTGGGAACCACTGGCTTAGAGTAATGTTTAGTAAGTACACCATTCATATTCCTTAGAGAAAATGCTACTGTCTGGCGACATTGGCCTATAAACGATAGAGTTGCTAGGTATGGTTCTTCTCCGTTGTTATGGGCAAATGCAAATATTGTATTTTTCAAATTGTGTGCTTTGTCTTTAAGAGATATTGCAAACTGACATGGAACATATGGTTTTTCATACGTTTCTTTAAGCAATAACCTTTTACCTACTTTCAGTGCATAATATGTTTACGCTATTTTGTCCCAGACAAAATACAATAACAATAATATATAAACATGCTTCAAGGCTATGCTACGACTCTTTCAGTACATAATATACTGCGGTAACCCTATTTAGATAAAGATGTTCAGACTTTAAGATGCAATTTTGACCTAAGTCAGGAAAATTTCCATGACGTATGCACCCTTTAGTTATGGCCTTGTATTTTTGCCAAGTTAAGGGAGGTCCTAAAGTGAATACAAGTAAAAGTTACTTTTTCATATATGAACTACAGTAACCCTAAAATGAAGACACCTAAGGTATAAATTGAGGTGTACTTTTAAATATTAGAGAACACAGAGAGAAGAGATTTGGAGACAGACGCTGCTCCATCTTATAATGACAGAGAGGTTGACATGATGACATGTTCAGGAGGGTGTTATTCTATTAATGATATTGCAAGCATATAGTTTAATCTTATAAACTCTGCTATAAATTATTGTAATGGATTTTTATGTCTATATTAATTTTTTTTATATAATAAATATCTAAAAGACAGCCCTTTATTGCTTCCAAGAGGATCTCTTACTAACTATATAATATTATGGCTAAAGATATCTGTATGGTTAGCCCTGCTAAATTCTATGCTTTAAGACATTATAGTGGTAAATAAAGGAACAAGCCGCGGTTACACTGTCTTAGTAACTGGTAGCTTTGGATTTCTGTATTTACTAAATAGTGAATGGATGATTACTCTTAAAAATGGTGCCAGTATAACTGTGCTATTGTACGCTGTTTGTGTATCATCTAAAAACATAATTTAACACAACTTTGTTCTTTGCAGCCTAGAAATGTGTTTCTACATGGCCCTGATCTCCATGTACGCATTGGAGATTTTGGACTTGCCTGTGGAGCTATTCTACAGCATTCCAGAGACCACTGGTTGCAGAAAGATGGCGACAGCGGTAAGTAATCTTGCAGTGCCAAGTCTATATAGGCATGTTTAAAACAAGAATATTTGGGGGTAGAAGGCAAACAAGTCCATATATAATACAAGATCATTTTAGAACTCTCCACGCAGAATCGCTCACCTTAGTTGGGGACATTGACCTAAAAAAGCAGTGTCTTAAGTTGAAAATTCTGGCGGATCACGGGCCAGACATGTTTCTTTGAACACTGCTGGATATATCTGCTTTTTAGGTTCCTTGCACCATCACTGACATTACCTGCAAGCAGTGAAAAATCAACGAGACCCGTCTTTTGGACTGTAGAATGGGTAGGACCTTTTTATAGGTTTTGGTTGCAGCTTGTGTGGTAGATTGTAGTATACGTCTGGACAATTGCAAAATCACTGCAACTAGAACGCTCTATGTGATTACATTTTATCCCTGTTGAAAGATTTAATGCGTTACCTTGAAACCAGTCCAGTTTATTAACATTCCATTGATATGTTAATGTACGATTGTTTGTGTGCGTGACAATTTAAAAAGATACTTCATGATCTGAATGGAACACTTTATTTTTTATTCATTTCTCTTTAGAATCAACTCGCACAGAGAGAGTAGGCACATGTCTGTATGCTGCACCAGAACAGCTAGAAGGATCTAATTCTAACTTTAAGGTAAGATAATAAATTAATGGCATGGTACCGTGTGTATCGACCGTATATTAATTATTTCTGCTTTCACTTTGATATATTGCGATCTGCTATTTTGTCTGAATGTTGCCATATAGGGCCTTGAGTCTCTTCTTTAAATAATGCCAGGCTAAACGTCCTGTGTAGCAGTACCAAGATCTTTTCGTGACAAATACAGTCGCCGTATGGATGTGGATGAGTGCTCTTGTGTTATTTCTAATGCATGGGCTGCAATGATGTTGCAGCATGAAAGGCTTCAATGAACTCAGAGTTATTCATTAAATAATACATTTTGGGGAACTGAAAAACACATTTTTAAAAGTAATCTTTCAAATTGAGGTTTTGAATAAAGTGATATTGGATCATTTTTTTCTACTAGACTTTTTTGGCTTGTATTTTGCAATCAATTTTCAATTCTTTTGTAGTGAAAGAGTCATTGAATCTCTGATTTGACTTAATTAGGGAAAACCTATTGCTGTGTTCTACTACCCCCTTGTGGCAATGATGTAGTAAATGTGTTAATGGCGTTTATCTGTCTGCTCTGCAGTCTGATATGTACAGTTGTGGCATCATATTACTGGAACTCCTTCACCCGTTTGGAACTGAAATGGAAAGGGAGAAAGTCTTGACAGCTCTGAGGAGTGGAATGTTTCCAGAATCATTTGAAAACCAATGGCCTACACAAAGTAAATACATCAAACTTCTGACCAGTGCAGACTGCGCAACGCGTCCATCTGCTTCACAACTTCTGGAAAGTGACCTGTTCTATGGTGAGAAAAATGTAAGTATCTCAGAATCGTGCTCATGGATCGAACTGCCTAAAAATCACAGTGTTTGGCTGAGATTGCCAGCTCTGTGCTTTCAGCCTATCACATCACCCGTAACTAGTATGAATTAGTATATCTAAGGAAGAATGTTATCTCTCATATCTTCAGTAGAGTCCAGACTGTGGGTGACCCTCAATGTTAAAGGAACACTATAGGGTCAGGAACACAGACCTGTATTCCTGACCCTAGAATGTTAAACCACCACCATCTAGCCCCCTGAGCTAACCACCCATCCCCCCTCTCACATCATAAAATCTTACTTGTATTCAAGTCTGCTGCTGCAGCTGGCTCTGCCTCTGACATCATCAGAAGTGGTGGCATGAGACAATCACAATGCTTCCCCATAGGATTGGCTGAGACTGTCAAGGGGGCAGAGCCAGTATCAGTCAAACACAGCCCTGGTCAATCAGCATCTCCTCATAGAGATTAATTTAATCAATACATCTCTGAGGAAAGTTCAGTGTCTGCATGCAGAGGGTGGAGACATTGAATGGCAGTGCTGCTCCCTGTGCAGCACTGCCCCGGAAGAACCTCTAGCAGCCATCTGAGGAGTGGCCAGTGAAGTTATCACTAGGCTGTAATGTAAATGCTGCATTTTTTTCTGAAAAGACAGTGTTTACAGCAAAAAGCCTGAAAGTAATGATTCTACTCACCAGAACAAATTCAATAAGCTGTAGTTGTTCTGGTGATTATAGTGTCACTTTAAACTGCTCAAAAATGGTTAAACACTGTATGGAGGGACAGCGCTAGTGAACTCTAGACACTGTAATCAATTCAATGAAATAGTTATAGTTGCCCGGGTGTTTCCCTTTAATAAAATGTATTGTGTCTGCATTGTGACGGGAGAAACCTGCTGTAATGTAGTGGTTTTGGTGCTAGGTTTTTCCTGATGACCTTCCAGAGTAAACAGCTTAGCTGGGGTATGCTGGTCACCGACAGCCACCTTATCCGGGGCGGAATGCTTCTGCCTTGAGCTGAGCCTTGCAGTGCAAAACGGAGCTCATCAGCAAACACTCTATGAGCCAGCCGTATTGCAGGGATTAGGATTGTAGCAGCTTTCCGCTCAATGGGAATCTGTGACATTAGCCCAGTGGATATCCTATATTTGTCTAATATTGGCTACTAACACTGGGACGGTGCCAGGGTACTCCTGACACCATTAACACTACAGGAGTCTATAGTGGTTATGGTACTTAGTGTTTATTAAAATTATACTTGGTGTACAATCTTAACTTATTGTGTTACCCTCTACAAATTTGTCAGCTGATCAAAGCATTCTGCTTAGTGAATAAATCTCTATATTTTCCTAATAATTATTAAAGGGTTATTCCAATTATCACAACCACTACAGCCCACTGTTATGATGTGAGGAGTACCTTGGCCTGGTTCTCCAATAATGGGGGAAACTGCTTAGAAAAGGTGTGCCCCCTTAACTAGGCTCTGATGCTCACTGGTGGTCCGGTCACGTTCTTCTGGTTTCTGCAGAGCTGCGACAGTCACCATTCTCTGACAGGGGGTCAGCTGACATTCTGCGATATTACCAATGATGTTACCAGAGTTACACATGCAACAGCAGAGGGTTTTAAATTCCCAAATACAGACTCCAGGCACCATGACCACTTCAAATCACTGGTCATGGTGTTTGGAGTAACCCTGATAATACAAGACTCCTTAAAAACCAACACTCTGTACTTTTGGCAGGTGATTCAGGATCTGAGGAAAAAGGTGCTTGACCTGGAAGAAGAAAATGCAAAATTAAAACAGATGCTGCAAGAACAGACTTTGTCCTCAACCTCAAGGGAACGTACTGGTATCAAAGACACAGCAGTTTAATTATTCTGTAAATTACAGTACAAAAATTCTTGCCAAACAGTTCCCTTACCTGTGTTTTGATGTATTTTAGTATAATAAACTTTATTTATGCAAATCTGGTGTGTCTGGTTTTCATTAATTGGTTCTATTTTGGTCCAACAAACATTTTTAAAGGGATATTCTAAGCACCAAAACAACTTTAGCTTAATGAAGCCATTTTGGGGTATACAAACATACAAAATTAAGCCATGCGCTCAAACTTCCACTACAACTGGGCGGCAGCTATTACTATAGTACACATCAGTCCTAATACATAGAACAAAAAGAAAAGGTTACTTCGAACAATCCCAAATCCCTATGCACATCTAAATAACTGGAAGTATCACTCCAATGGCCATTAAAGTGTACGCTTACTGGCTACGTCAAGGCAGAAACTCTTACGCTAACAATTTATTTTGCTTCAGGAATGGTCTATAAAAGTGACTTGGTTTATAGATTCTTAGGCTAGTAGTGAATGTAAAATTCACATAAGTAAAAATATGACCTACATCCAGTGTGACCATATAGATGTCTGACTCTCACCCCAGCATCCCCTACAATCCACCCAAACGCACTATCCTATATGTGAATACAGCTTTGCCGTGGCAACACACATAAACAGAGCCAGTTCTCTAGTCCAAGCAGATAAACCTGTGGCACAGTATCTTACTTACCATGTCAAGTTAGTATCTTTTTCTAGTACTTCACTTTGGCATAAAAAAATTTAACCGCTTATCTCACTGTCCATATTGGGTGATAAGGCTTCTCACAAATAGATGTTGACACTCAAAATTACAATCTACCAGGTAATTAGCTGCCCTTTCTCTTTAAAGATGAGGAGGGAAAAAGTTACTATTTTTTTTCCCCCTATCTTAAATGATTGTTTTATTGTGTAATAAAGTTTGTACAAAGTAAAGTCTTTTAGACAATCTTCAATTTAAATATGGAAAAGCTCTAGAACTGGGTCTAATATGAACCTGCACTGCATTATAGCATCTCTCGAGTCTTGCACATAATCTGTGTAGGGGTGATCACTCTGGATTGTTGTGCTTGTTATGAGTGCCATATCTATGTTTCAATTCCTAACATAGTCAGGGGACATATGCAAGTTGTAGGAGGTTATTCCATTTAATCTTGTTACGCTCTCCAAATCTATCACTTCTATTTAGCAGCTAGTATCTATTATTCACAAGAATCTTCCAGTTAGAGTCAACCTGCCTACTGTGCCAGAAAAAAAGTTAAAGAATGTGTTTTATTGCAAAGTACATTTTATCCACAAATACATTAATTTGGATTTCTAAATGTGATACCAACCGTTATATTTCACAAAATTTCAGCCATTGTTCTTAGGGTTGTTAGAAGATGACCACACTTTGTGATCGATTTCTTCCACCTGTACTCTTAAGTATGCTCCTTCTGATTGGAAGACTTCCATCACAGTGTGAGAACATATCACTAATGGTTAAACTTAACTGATATGGAGTACATATCTTAAACATTAGCTGCTAATAAGTACTTCTGCTCCCGTGGGGGAAATGGCAACTGTTATTTTGATATCACACTGTAGTCTTGTTAGAGAGTTGTTCCCACCCCTCAGATAGTGCAGGTTTTATAAGGGTCCTCAACGCAACAGGGAAACCTAATTCTTGAACTGATTTTCTTTGTGGGTTGGGAACCCCTTCTCCAAGGAAACTTACTTAGGGGATTATATTGCATGAGGATTCCTGACATGGGACCACACCATAACTACTGATGGTGTTAGCCACTCACCTTGAACAATGAAATCGGGTGAATGTGGAGAAATACTGATAGAATAAGGGAGTAAAAAAAATAGAGTGAGATGGGGGACACACTCTGGGTTTTATATGAAAGTAAGAGTAAAGGAAAGGAATGGATTTTCAGTTTTATTGACGAGGCAGAATGATATTGTACTGCCAACACATATCTCTTCCTTATATTATTGTCTTTGTAGAATATTACATATTCTATGTTCCTATTCATAACATATCAAGCTTCTGCATTAGAATAAGGTCAGGACAACTGGCAATGTACTTCACATTTCTCGTATAATGAAGGCAAAAAGCCTTGCAGAACTAAATGTGGAAAAAAAAAAAAAAATCCAGAATGGGTAAATTTTTTTACTTTTTTTATAGTATATGCCAATATAAACAGTTTGGGTTTTTTATAAAAGGCACCTTGTGAAGTTGGTTGACTTCATTCTGAATGCAATACACAAATAACTGCAAGGGTCTACATGCAATCCACTTGGTAAAAAGGTCTAGACAGGCATTGTATTGTTAAATTAGGAACCTGCAGTGGTCACCACTTTAATTTGGTTACTTAAGGAGTTTAAGAGCCGCCTTGAAGGATGTAAGATTTTCACAAGACTTCATCCACTTCTGGACATTGGGTGGGAGAGCAGTGGAGTTGCCAGATTGCTGAATGGCGCACCAACTAATGATATCGGCTATAGTCAGTTCGTTGCCTACTAGCCAGGGAGACTTGCCCAGGGCTGTGCTCAGGGCTCTCAGAACGGCAGCCTTCTCTTTGCTGCTTCCATCCCGGAGCTGAAAAATTGCAGTATCGACCCAGCTGTCTATCAATGTTGCAGTGACTGCATTAAAGGAGTGCCCGAAGAGAGAGAATAGGAATCGAGCGATGTTCCCTTCACCTTCGATTGGACACATGTTCTGGATGCTGAATTTCATCTGTGGTTTGGGCACTAAAAAGAAAACGTTTTATATTAAAACCAAAAATTCATATTATCTATACAAATATTTGGCTGAAGAACAAGCATGAAGAAGAAATGGCATGTATGTCACCCCACTTTAAGTAGATCTTTAGGAGGAACGAACCCATTTGCAGGCCTGGTCCATTCGCTTACAATCACTAACTGCAGGGAAGACTAATTTACACATGAAATATAGAAGGGGAGACGAATTGGGATTGTACAGATTACATGTATGGATGAGGGTCTCTCACTGAGTTCGCCTTCAGGATTTCCTGTGATTGAGCGGTTAGGATGCTACGACGTCATCTACAAGTACCTCAATTAGCCAGCTGGCTAGGGAGCGTAAAACAAACTACCCACCTATTCTGTGGCAGCATTGTTTTAACATTTGCGCCAATCACTGAAGCAGAAGTAAAATAAAACTTTGAAGCCTGCTTCAGTATTCAGTTAGGGTTACTCCAAGCACCATGAGCAGGTCACTGATTTTAAGTGGTCATAGTGCTTGCAGTCAGAATGTGCAGGGTTTCAGTATTAAACTCTGCACCATCATTACCCAATGTAGAGCTGGGACGGCTAATGTTAAATCTGTGCATATGTATTATAGCTTGCTGGCGCAGAGAACCATCCCTTAATGAATGGTTTACCCTCAAAGTCTGGAAAAGGGTGACATTCCACTTCAGTCAGTGGTTCGGGTATAGCCGATAGGCTGAAAGTGTCAGCTGATGATTCCCGATTGAAGCCTCGGACCGTCTGAGAAAGTGAAGGGGCATTTGTTAACAATGTAATCCCTAAAAGGTAAGAACGCACCTGGGACATCCTCGCATACTTCAAGCACTAACAAAGTTAAAGGGCATTTTTTTTCTTTGACAGTCACAGTTTTGATACAGCTTGCTCTGGCTCAGAGCTTCTTTGGGTAGACACATTTTCCGAATATTTCATTAAACAATGATGGCTGGTTATGCAGATCTAAATAATGTCTGGAGTATCAGGCAGAAAGTTTTCAGCCTCTCAAACGACATATCAAATACACATAGCTCTGGTAAGTACAAGGCAAGTGGGTAATCATGGGAATTGTAGTTCAGCAACTATGGGGCTACCCATGATGCAACAGGGGTACATTATAAGCATTAAAAGCTCGATGTCATGTAAGGTCGCTTACCATCTTTCCAGATAAGTGTAAAGCCAAGCTGGTATTCCTGTCGAGATTTCTTATGGACCTGATCTCCAAAGCATTTCAGTAAGGGCTCTGGTATGTTAGAGACTGAGGAGTGCGTGTGGACTGTTGACAGCACCGTATACCGCTCACACAGCATACTATGAAGAATCAGCAGGGAGAGAGGGGGCACAGATGGGTTTGCATTGATAACAATGTCCCTCAGTGCTCCGTAGTCCTGCAAGCAGAAAGCAAACATACAGTGAATTTCACAGACAAAGCACAAGACATAACAGCAGGGTCTAGTTCTCTGGAGGGAGACTATACCAGGAATAGGACATTCATTTCTGGATAGGAAATCCAGAGTTTAGGAAATAGGAAAACTACTTTTTTTCATTGCGGGTATTTCAAGCCTCCAAGTGGAATTTTATTGAATTCATGCATTTGGATTACACTGTATTGGACTGCAATACTGGTTGACTGTACTCGCCTGTTTGTCTTCACACAGAGTGCTATACAGTTATAGCAAGTGGGTCTGTTTCAGGTCAGCTTTATTTTTGGGCTGCCCGACTGCCACCTCCAATAAGGTTATGGTAGCATTCAGACATCCTTGCCAAATTGTTTTAAGGACTCATTTATTGGACTTATTGCACAATTAGACTTTTTATCGATTAGATATTTTATTTATATTATTTCTTTTTTGGTTATTGAGGTATTAATTAAGCTGGCTTTTAATATGCATGCTTAATATACCCAGTATTGTGATTTTTCCATGTACTATTTTATGACATTAGTTTTATGTTTTATTGAGTTTCTTTTCTTTTTTCCCCCCTCCCTTCCCATATCTTTATTTAATTTTATTTATTTTTTATTGTATTTCCCTTTTTAGTCTGAGTATTCGCTCCTGGGTTTTCCACTAGTTTCTCTAATCGTGCATTTACAGGAATTGGTGATCCCGATCCAATTTTGAGCTAAACTCAGTAGCTAATCACCTGCTCCTGCGACCCAACAGGTACTGCATTCCTTTCATATATATATATATTTTTATACATGCAAGAGGTATCTTAGAACTGATAAATAAATACATCTTTATTGTACAGCTCTGGACTTACCTTTCCAAGAATAAAGTCCAGGTCAGCAACACTGGAGGCTGGGGCTGCCCTTTCATCGGCCTGAATGATGTCTGTCACGTCCAAGTCAGCATCGGGTGTTTGGATCATCTTTGAAAGCCCATCGACCGCAGCTTTCAGTTCATACAACCGTTTTAATATGTCTTCCTGACGGGATTCCAGAACCTGTAGAGCTGGGTCAGACTCCTAAAATATGCAGAAAACTAAAATTATGATAATTAAAAAAAAATAAAGTAAAATGTAAAGTCCATTTTATCGTTTTACACTGATCAGCCACAACATTAAATCCACCTGCCCAACATCGTGTCAAACCTGCCAAAACAGCTCTGATGCATCGAGGCATGGACTCCACAATACACATACCTGGTCATCCACCTGGTCTAAAAGAAAACGTCATTCATCAGACCAGCCTTAGTCCATGATCCAGTTCTGACACTCACGTTTCCATTAAAGGTGCTTTTGGTGGTGACAGGGGTCATCATCGGTACCCTGACTGGTCTGCAGCTACGCAGCCCCATACACAGTAAACGACGATGCACTTTGTGTTCTGACACCTTTCTATCATGGCCGGCATTGTTTTTGTTTTTTAGCAGTTTGAGCTAGAGTAGCTTTTCTGTGTGATCAGAACAGACAGGGTAGCCTTCACTCCATATCTGCACAAATGAGCTATGGGCACCCATGATGCTGACACCAGCTCACCAATTTTACTTCCTTCCACCATTTTTGGTATTTGCTAACCACTGCATTCTGAAAACACCCCACAAGACTTGTCGTTTTGGAAATGCTCTGACCCATTTGTCTAGCCATCACTATTTGGTCCTTGTCAAAGTCACTCAGATCTTTTCGCTTGCCCATTTTTTTCTGCTTCCAACACTTGAAATTCAAGGACTGACTGTACACTAGCTACCCAATATATCCCCCATCCCTTGACAGGTGCAAGTGTAACAATAAAATCAATATTATTCACTTCACCTGTCAGTGGTTTTAATGTTGTGGCTCATCAGTGTAAGTACCAGGTGTGCCAAATACTGCTTTGAAATGTTAATATAATTATACTTTATGTGTTGTTCAGAAATGCTTTAACACCTTAAAGGAGATCTTCAAGCAACAGTACCACTACAGCTCTGGCACCCTCCCAGATCAAGTAGTCAAACTGTTAGAGAATGTTTGACAACTTACATGGGGTCCGCCACACATTTCCTCCTATGCCTGTGAAAGCTCTTGCATTGATCTTTGAAGTTCAGCAGTCTACATTCCTACCTACAATAGCTGAACAAAGCCAGCAGCCCCAATCAATACATTTATCTATATACAGCCATTAGGACAAGATAGAGACGACTGATCACCAGAATGGCAGGAAGCAAGAAAGATTGAAATGGACAGAGTAACAATGTGTAAACCTGAGTAACGGTGTCTCCAGGCACACTGTAAGTTATTCATATGCGCTACATTCGCTTTATGGACACTGGCCACAAGGTTTATCTGCATGTCTGGTTTCTTTTAAAACAGGGATCTCAAACTCTGCGCCCTCCCCGTCTACCCAGATGCTGATGGCATTCATCTCCCAGATCTATCTGAATTCAATACCTGCTTTAATTTGTCAAGCATCATTAAACCATTGCCTCATTGCAAAGATAGTAGGGATAGACAGATAATCGGTTCGGCCGATATTTCGTATTTTGGCAAATATCAGTATCAGCCATTATTGATACCAAGATTGTCGATAATGTGAGAGGCGGCAGTGGCCCAGTGTACGCAGGGCCGACGTGTCCCTAAGGCGGCCGTCTTAGGGTGCACCGGCTCTGGGGGCGCAAGAATGGAGTGACTGCCAGGAAGGCAACACACAGTGCTCCCCCCTACCTGTTACCTGTTAGTGAAGCGTGGTTGAGCAGAGCAGAACAGTAGCTTCAGTTTCCTGTAACCGGCTGGACTGACAGGAAGTGCTCACTGAGAGAGGAAACTGAAGCTCCAGTACCGCGATCCTCTGCACTCGGCCACTCTACAAGAGAGATAATGAGGCACACCAGGGAGGGGAGAGGACCACTAAGGAAGGAGGGTGGACACACTAAAGGACAGGAAGTAAGAGAGGAGGAGGTAGAGGACCACTGAGGAACAGGGAAGGGAGGGAAGAGGTACACTAAGGGACAGGGAAGGGAGGGGAGAGGTATACTAAGGGACAGGGAAGAGGTACACTAAGGGACAGGGAAGGGAGGGGAGAGGTACACTAAGGGACAGGGAAGGGAGGGGAGGGGAGAGGTACACTAAGGGACAGGGAAGGGAGGGGAGGGAGAGGTACACTAAGAGACAGGGAAGGGAGGGGAGAGGTACAATAAGGGACAGGGAAGGGAGGGAAGAGGTACACTAAGGGACAGGGAAGGGAAGGGAGGGGAGAGGTACACTAAGGGACAGGGAAGGGAAGGGAGGGGAGAGGTACACTAAGGTACAGGGAATGGATGGGAGAGGTACACTAAATATTCTTGTTAAGAAAAAAATCTGACTGGCATGTATATTTTGTGCATTTACAAACTTAATAAAAAAAATTTGCAAAAGTAAATAAATTATAAACATGTTCTGTAAACATTAGATTTGTGTAGAAATCGTTTGTTTTTTTTAACTAGTAAATGAACAGATTATCGGTAAATTATCGGCTATTGGCCTAAAAATTCATAGATTATCAGTATCGGCTCTAAAAAAAACCCCAACAAAACGATATTGGTCGATACTGTATGCAGCAATGTGCAAAAATTGCACCAGCTATAAAGCACACTTTCACTTGCGGGAGAAGGTAAATGCGCTCTAGTTACTTCCGTTAGCTCCATGAAGCTTACGGAGTTAGGAAGATAACCTCCCTGGCTGTCTGATTAACAGTCACTGAGGTGTTTGTCAACTTGCTTTGTTTTGCAGTTTTTTTGAACTTTTTTTTTTCAGTTGCTTATTATTTTGTGAGATAGAGATATATATATATATATATATATATATATAAAAATTCATATCAAATTGAGATCAATTCCTGCACATAAAGTCCCTTTAATTCAGATACAGATGACAAACTCTGTTGCTGAACTAAGACTGGCTACATACAATGTAATTAACTCTCTTATCCATTGACATAGCTTGAAATACCAGTTAGGATAAGAATCTAAGCAACCCTCTCATGTCAGCTGCAAACAGACTATTGATTCACTTTCGTTTCATCAACCTGTAACACCCTACATGCAGATTTGTGAATTACTGTTGACATTTGGATCAGTCTCTTGCAGTTCAGTTGCTACCTACCAACTCAACCATTCTACACTGGTGTGGCTGGGTAAATAATGGGGGTCTGGGTGTTCTAAACTGTGCACACAAACACTGGTTAGTTCCCACTGCAAAACAGGCCACAAATCAATCATTAGACATGCACGATTGTGGCTATATTTAAAGCGGCATTTCAAAAAGATAGATTCTTTATACAATACAAATATTGACTGTGTTGGAATTTCATTCCACCCAGTCATCGGTATGGTGGGACAAAGAAGGGATTACTTTGTCTCAGTAATATCCCTTCGCCTGACACTTCTTGACACTAGGCCGAACAATCGCCATCAAGCTGTATCATTTCCCCCAGCCATCATCAGTGACAGTTGCAAGGAAATTATCTATGCATGCTCATGGCAGGAACGGCAGTAAGAGGATGGCGACGCCTGCGAGGGACAGGTTCAGGTAAGTAATACTGATCTTTGCCTTGTCCCCCACCTCACAATGGTGATGTCACCGTCTGCGATTTTGCAAATTATACAAAGTCCCCAGATGGTGACATTTCCCCTTTTAAGGGTTACTCCAAGTACCATAACAACGTAATATATATGAAGTGGTTATGGTGCCTAGAGTCTGTATGTGTAGCCTTTTTGCTTTGAAATGCTGAACAAATAATTTCCATTCCTGCATCGGTTTAATGAGACTACAGTAAGATCTACAAATAACATCAGTGACTCCCTCACAACCTGATATTCACCTAACTAAAACATGATCTTAGCAATATTTCAAACAGAAATAGGTGCAAGGCACTAATCCTGTGCTGCCAATAACACAGACATACATATTCTAATATATATATTAAAATGGATCATTACCAGGGTTTCATTATGTGCTCTGCATGAGCAACATACTAATAGGTCCTTCTTCAACAACACAAGACAAATAAGGGCATTGCTCAAAGAATTGTTCAAGCCCCACATGAAGGGGAGCTGTGGGTGGCATTTTATCAACTTGCAGGCAAAACCAAGCGTAATGTGCCCATGCACCTAGAGATCACCACAGTGGCTCAGCAAACCCACCACAGACCAGAGCTAATTGGCAACAGTGTGCATAAATGCTTATAGCAAATGTGTATCATTCTCTAGTGTTTATAGCAGTGACAGGAATGGAAGTCCAGATCTAAACAAAAGCCAGCGGAACTGGGTAACTAATGGCACAAAGCATCCACATTAGATACATAGGCAGGGAAGCAACCGTGACAAATAGAAGCAAACAGCAAGAACAGAGGAAAGGGTGTCACATGTCTGTAAAAGGGGCGTAAGGGAGTCAAAATAGAGACGGAGGGCAAGTAGATATAGTGAAAATAAAAATAAATAAATCATAGTGATGGACACAACTGTAAAAAAAAAGGAAGGAAGAGGAATTTGTTTTTATATAAAGGCTTTAATGATCCTTACTCTTGTAACATTTATAATGAGATCCCTACTTTCAGACATTATTTAACAAAATGAATAAGCATCCATTTGTGATAAACCTTTGCTGAAGTTGAAATCATTTTAAAATTTGCACTGTTGGAATGTTGTCCAGCAACTCCTTAGCCCGTGGCAAAATATATGTTCGCACTAAATCTGCATTATTTTAGAGAAATACATTGGCCCTGCTTATTCTTTATTGAGGTCATCCTCAGGCGCAAAATAACCAGACTTTCACACAATCCTGGACCTCCCATAATTATCTATTTGTAAAACATGTGCATGAATGCTAGTGTTTCATTCACTATAAAAATGATTGAATGTGTCCTCTAACATCTCAGAGTTAATCATTCATTGAAAGAAAAAAAAATACAAGGATTTCCCCCATTAGCTTCCATTTATTCACATACACTTCCTGCTAGGGCCTCGTGATACTCAACATTCTAGAATACAGGCATATTTTAGACACAGAATTTGTATACAGATATTCTTAGTCCCAATCTGACACTATTGATGTTCCTTTGATGGTAGGGCTTCAAATCTCAACTCTTACACTACTAGAAAGGCTTTAAAAGTTACTTTTCAAAGAATGCTTGGACGATCCAGGACACAGTTGCCAGGGTTCAAATTTCTACTGGACAGGGCGAGATTTTACCCACCCTGATATAGCCATCTGTCAAATACACAAACCCCCTTTTAAAATGGAGTCAAACTGATGTAGCACAGCTTCTTTAAAAAATATACATGAAACATGACGTAAGTGTCAGTTCAATACCAACAATGTTACTCCTAATAGTATTATTTTCAGGGAAATCAAAGTGTATTTAAAATTTTAAGCCAAATTATATGTAAAAAAATATATTTCAGTTAATCTAGTTTTCCTAAAATCTAAAATGTTGTTATATATTCTAAAATTCTATTTGTGTTAAGACCTGACAATGTTACACTTAAATAAATAGCCCTGTTGAATCAATAAATCTATTTAACACACGTGATATTATTTAACTACTTTAGCACAAATTATCTGGTAACAAATACTACAGTTTGAGGAAGATTTAGGAATGGTAACCCATCTCTGTAGGAGTGGTATCCTATTACAAAAAAAATAAAAATAATATATATATATATATATATATATAAAAAATAAAAAAAAAAAAACCCACTGCATTATTAAACGCCATCTGTTACTGGGTGGAAATGTGTCTAAGATAGTGGACATATTAAAAGATTTTGTGTACAGAACTGTAGAAATTATTCATCTGCAGCAGAAATATCTACTAAAAAAGAGAAATTATTAAATACCCTGTAATAATAAATGTTTATTAATAGTGGCCATTAAATATATTTTTTTTTAGGTTATTATTAACAGTGGTATTTTGTAAGCTGACACAGATCAGGGAGGTATTTGAGGATAAGCTTACACACAATGACAGAAATAGCACAGAAGGCCTGGGGGTCCAGCCTGGCTGCCCCCCATCCAGTACCTGTCCATCCTGATGCTGGGAGGGGGCCTGGTGCACGTTGGGCACTCGGTACATACAGGTAGGTAGGTCGATCTGCACCTCCCCGCCGCCGAACGGCTGCACTTTGTACATAGGCATCACTGCGGGATCCTCAGCCACGCTGCACAGTCAGCACGAACACCCGGTGGCCACAGCGAGATGACGTCAGCCTGTCTCCCACTCCAAGCGTTCCAAGCCTCTGAGTGGACATTCCATTTGGAACGCAAATTGGTTACAAGCCGTGGAACGCACGGCGGCCATCTTTAATGCTGGCAAAAATAAATAAATAAATAACTTTTTTTTTTTTTTTGAGAGTATGCAAAAAAAAAAATACAGTCGATAGCAAGAATGTGCCTTAGATTGGAATATACTTTGCCGACAGGTCCACTGTGGTCAGAAAAAAACTTTTTTTTTCTTTTTTTCCTACAGACAGCTGGCTGTATTGGTGGGTGATTAGTTTATGGTGCAAAACTGCTGCAGTTACCTTGGAAGCAAAAAGCCTGTTGCTGTGGAATATCGACTTTTAGCAATTTGCCCCACAGCTATGATCCCCCCTCCTCCCCCAATATAAAGGATCTAACGTGCACCATAAGAGGCAGGTCTGCAGTGGTGGTTGCCATATTGCATGGAGTGTAGTTATAAATTACTTGAAGCTTGTATCCCCATTTGGGGATAGAATTACATCTTACTCTCTGCCCTCATCAAAGATGGCCGCTGGCGACTTCCGCTCTGTTTGTGGCGCTAGGTGTGAAGCGCAGGGTACCAGGGGCATGCTATTGGCTGGCTGTGAGCTGGGAAGCGGACTGGGACAGGGTCAGGAGGCTGCAGCTGGCTGACCCCATGCCAGTTCACTGAATACACCTTCTTCATGCTATTAATGTGCCATGGAGGACGGCTGGTGAGTTATGGCAACTTGGCAAAAGCTTATTCCAGAATGCATGCTCAGTGCATGAGCATAATGTCATATGGCAGCTACAGGCATACCTCCCAACTGTTCCTAACAAGGAGGGACTAAGCCCAAAACATTATGTTCCTCTTCTCAATCTCACCGTTTTCTGTGAGCTCTAAACTTTGGGGGTGCAGAACAGAACTTCACAGCAAGACACCCCCCCATTTATGTTTAAACTTCAATAAATGTTATTTTATCAGTCTGTGTTAATAAGACATTCTAGGCATGTTCTAAATTCCATTTTCAGTTACATAATATGTTATCAAGAAGTCCCAAATATTGGGAAGAATGAGCAGCGTTGACCGCAATTAGTTTGATTTCACTGGCAAAATATCCATGGGAAGTTTAAAACGGTGATAGGAGTCCCCGAGTGCTACCCACCAATAACATTTATGAATGTTTTGACACTTACCTTGCTGTGTCAGGTGCTTGCGGTTCATCTAATCATACATGTGCGTTATCATGCAGTGTCAGATGATGGCTTTCTGCTTATGAATACTGTTATTACTTGGTATGAGTTGGTAGTATGATGAGAAATGTCATACTTCCAGATTATGACACAGCGTTATTAAAGAGACACTCAAGATCCCTAAAGCACTTTCACTTGATGAAGTGCTGTATGTGCTGTTTTTTTTTTTACAAAAAAAAAATGCAGATTTCAATAGAAATTCTCACTTTTATAAAATTATGCCCCCTGACTGTCAATCAGACAAACTGACCTGTTACTTCCTGGTTTGGTTAGCTCAGTGTAGCTAAACTCAAGAGGCAGCAAATGCCCAGAGCATCTGCCTTGAAAATATTTCTCATTTAACATGCCCAGGGGTTAGACAGGGACCCTGAAACCAATAATTTGCTGGGCTTCATTCACCAGACCTATGTGAAGAATGAGGGAGGACAAAAATTAAACAGAGATCTAGGGCAGTTAATTCTTCTCTTATCAGATCAACTGAGACCAGAAGGACCGTTCTCACTCAACACAGCAATTTAAGTGTCAAACCATTTGGAAATAGTTTGACAGGTTACTTACAGACAGCACACAGAAAATCCTGGCATCATAACCAGTACAGTGCACTGTATTTGTTGTGGTGCATAAAGTATCCCGTAAACAATTTTGCGATGGGCTAACACAGATATCCAGCTCTCCATTTTAGACTTTTGGTGTACGCCATTGCTGTGCATGCAGATATCCAATGTGCACAGAATTAATATTTGCCACTTGACTCTTGTTACTATCTGTGCAATGATGTCCTAATTAATCTTCTGCAGGTGGCAGATACACCTCTCACAGCAGAGGGATTAAACTCTGTATGTGCAGGGTTTCATAGCAAAATGCTACACATACAGACTCTAGGTACCACTTCATAGGGATAAATTACTAAAAGGGATACTATAGTGCCAGGAATACAAAGCTGTGATCCTTGCACTATAGCTCCCTCTGCCTCCCCTCTCCCTTGCAACCCCCTCCTGCAAAGGTAAATAAAAGGTTGAAAATCCTTTATTTATTTACCTGATCCCAACAACAATGTCCCTCGGCGCTGGGTTGCAGCTCTGCCTCCTCAGACATTGCTCCACGAGGGGGCACTAAAGTGCATGCATGGCGCGTGCCGCGCATGCATTAGACCTCCCCATAGGAAAACATTAAATCAATGCTTTCCTATGTGAAAATAACTAGCACTGGATGTCCTCATGCAGAGCGTAAGGAGGTCCAGCGTCAGTCATTGGACCAAAAATCCATTAACATTCGGAAAGCACTTCCCATGTAAACATTGCAGTTTCTCTGGACACTGCATCCAGACCACTTAAATTATCTGAAGTGGTCTGGGTGCCTATAGGGTCCCTTAGGACCCAAATTGTCTTCGTAAAAATGTTTCCATATCAGACATGTTTGAAGAATGTGTAGTCATTAAATATATTTTTTTTCTTCTATAGTACTGAACATGCTAAAGCAATCAAACCTATAGATCGCAAATCAGTTCATCAAATCTGCTCTGGGCAAGTGGTGCTAAGTCTTGCAACAGCAGTGAAAGAGCTTCTGGAAAACAGCATCGATGCAGGAGCAACAAGTATTGGTACGTTTAAAAAAAAAAAAAAAAAAGAAATAAAACATTACACTTTTTCTATATATACAACATTGCATGATTCTATAACCATCTACATTTTGGTGTCCATTTCTCCTGCTGAATATTTCCCGTAAGCCCTGATTCATGAATCCAGCATGGGTTTGTGGGAGACCTGTAAGAAGCCAGCAGTCAAATTAAATCCCCAGAAACCACGACATTATGATGTGGAGCAAAATAAGGCCATGCAAATTGAGAGGGAGAGACAAAGAGGAAGGGCTAATGCAGAAAAATATATACGTGTGTGTGTGTGTGTGTGTGTATATATATTTTTTTATTTTTTTTTAGAAGGGAAAAAAACCAACCATGGTAACTAATAATACTTTAATATATGCCTTTTCATAAATAATTGGGTGAAGTGCTTTATGTGTATGGAGTATCCCACAATGACAGTTTATAAAAGTGTCAGATAACTTTCAGAAATCCAAACTTTTATAAATCGGTTCTGAAACACCTCTCTGGCTGTCAATCAGATACCCAGAGAGGATTATTTTTCCTTCCGTTAGCTCCACAGAACATGCCTGCCCTGTCCCACATTGTTAAGACACCCCTGGCACAAAAGAGTGAAACCGCCGTTTAGTTAAGCTTCCCCTTTCACAATAATGCAAGCTCCATTCGTATATACTCCAACCGTACGAACTGCAACCAGGGGAATGCACCAATCTCCAGAACGGGACCCGTACGGATGCTCCAAGCTCCCGAACAATAAATCCACGAATCGCGGCTAACAGCCGAACAAATATATCCTCTAAGCGGCTTACGGTTCCAGCAATCGGTCACTAACCGTGTGTAGTAAATCCCCACAATAACGAGACCAAGCTCCGCATTGAGGGTAAAACCAGAACTGGCTTTACTGTGGGCTACCCGCCTGTATTTATGCAGGTCTCCCACTTGGTGGACACTCCCCTAGGGGACCAAATGGGAGACTCTAATGACAGACAGATATATGGCACTTTCAGACATACAGGCACAAAATATTCCCATAATGCATCCTGGTTTCCTCCCCTCTGCCCTGGAGATAATTGAGAAGTAATTCAATTATCTCCAGGACATAGGCAAATCGCCATTTTAAATCAAACACAAAAACCACATAAAAATAAATAATTATACAACTACCGAACATATTACATTCGTGCAACGTATCCCCAGATAGCCTGGATCTGAGTGCATATTCTTAGCGAATAGCGCTCAGATCCCATACGCACAGTTCAATCGCCATGGAGTCAAAGTCTTTTACAGTCTTTCGGTATGGGATGGCTATCTGGGTTAAGTCCATTCGTGTAATCCAAACTCCCGAACGGCTGGTGTTCGCCTGCCTTGTCGACTGAGAAGGGCGGTCTGTGGTTTCAGTGGTGTTCGGCAGAAAAAGTGTCCGTTTTTAGTTCCATAGAATCTGTGCCGAACACCGCTGGTCTTTCGCATGGTTTAAAATGGCTGCCGCTTCGTGGTCGACATACGAACGATGACCACCCTGCATTCGGTTATAATTAAGAGGTGTCTGCGGTTAACCACAACGTTCTAATTGGGATCAAGAGGGTAACCAGCAGCACACTTCTCTTCTGGGTGGCCGTTCCTTCGGCAAGTTCATTCGGTAAAAAGTCAAACATACGAATAGGGGTATACGAACAGGCAATTTCACGAAAGGAAGGCAAACTAGATGAACCAGCAATAATAGTTATACAGATGGGTCTGTCACACACATGTTCCATGATGGGAGAAAAAGGGGAAGGCCTCCAAAGACTATCTGAAGAACTGCAGATTTTTCATGCTGTTTTTTTCCATTGGGATTATAACTATTAAATAGTGATTTTGTGTTTTTTATTAATATTTAGTGTGGAGTGGTCCTTTAGGTAAATTAGCTGACATTGTATTTAAATAATATTACATTATTTCTCCCCTGAGCAGTGGTTTCTGTTTGTGATGCAAGAGATCCTGCTGTTTGGGGTGTGAAGTCAGTATGAGAGACTGAGACCCAAACTCGGGTGCATTGTATGAACTCTTGTTCTAACAATATTCTGCCGTTTGATAGTCAGGGGTTTAGCATATGTGTATATTGGTGTCAGTCTATTGCTTTTTGGAGCAGTTTCATTCATAGTGTTCAATGTCAAACTAGCAAGAAGATCTGATCAATGGATAAGGATTTAGGGATATCTCAGTTCTGTTCCGATGAGGGTGTTGATAAACCATTGACCTTTGATGTGCTTTGAGTATCTGCTGTTATGCTTGATGGGTGATACCACATGTAGTGAAAATTTGAAAATATTTTATTTAATTTAAAAAAAAAAAATTTGGTGGGGTCTGGGTGGGATTTTTTTTTTTTGAACTTAAAAAGTTACAGATGATATATTTGCTTTTTTTTTTTTCTCAAATGTTCAAGTGTGACATTTACTAAAGTCTTCAGGACTGATGTCTATATTGTAGGCAGCTTTTGAGTGCTTCTAGTGCCACAGGCTCATCTTTCTTGAAATATGACCTACTTTAGTGCATATACACATTGCTGAGGGACACTTAAAATAAATAATAAATGATTGTAATTCTTGGTGATGTAAAGCCCATTGGTTTACAGGAAAATAATGTTAAATATACAGATTTATGTATAACATACGAATTTTAAAATGCTATCAAAAAGATTGGACATTGCTAATGTGTCGCTCTATGTCTCACTGTTTCGTATATGTTATCATTTTGTTGTAGACATAAAACTTAAGGATCATGGAGCGGAACTCATAGAAGTCTCTGATAATGGCTGTGGAGTGGAAGAACACAATTTTGAAGGATTAAGTAAGTACTTTTCTAATAAGTGGGTTAAAGGGACATTCCACTGACCAAATAGAAATAATATAAATTATTGTACACACAATGAACACATGCATAATTATACATGATCCAATTATGGTTGGTTATCTAAAAACAGCTTCCACATGGTGTAGATCTCTTGTCTGTTGTCTTTGCAAGCCATCCCCTTCTACCCCACCCAGACTTTCTGTGGCTGTCCAATCACAGACTTCCCAAATAATCTCTGTGCGATTGCTGCATCTTGAGTTTAGCTCCACTGAGCTAAGCAACCAGGAAGTAACAGGACCTTTTGTCAGATTTACAGTCAGGGTGTGTAACAAGAATATTAAAATTATAAAATTGCCCATTTCTATTGAAATTTGTAGTTTTTATAGGTACTTCCCACATAAATTACTTCAGCAAGCGCTTTCGTGGTCTGGACTGTCCCTTTAATTTAAAATAACAAAAGCGCATACTACTATCAGGAAAACATTTTGTACAAAGGGTACCATCCTGGGGTGACATTCTAAAAATTGAGCAATCAATAGAAACATACAATTTTTGATTGTTCCAGTTTTAGAACATAAATCTGGTATTGTCCCTGGTACAAGTTTTCCATTAGTTTTGTTTTTTTTTGTTATAGTGAATGTACAGTCTTGTTATAGGATCTATTCTTTACTTTTTATTTGGTGTTTCATTTTCTCTATAATGTTTATTTTTTTTTTTTATTTAGCTCTCAAGCATCACACTTCCAAGATACAGGATTTTTCTGATCTCGTTAGTGTTGAAACATTCGGTTTTCGTGGAGAAGCTCTAAGTTCCTTGTGTGCATTAAGGTACAGAAATTCAATTTTATTTACATTGCTGTCATTATTTCTGTAATCTAAAATCCCGTTATCGGGGATCAAATTTTCAAATCATCATTAGCCACTGGTGAGTGAAAATGTATCCCTGGCAAGTAGAAATTGATCACTAAGTGTGACATGGCCTTTCCCGGCTTGCTGTGGTGAGTAACTTTTTTCATGTTTAGCTAATAACATAGAACATGAAATTCGAAACCCTGCCTTCTGAATTAAGAATTGTGATGGTCCAAAGCTGCCGTGGAAACCTTCAGTTTGTATCACACCGTTCCTAAATGGTTTGATATTAAACTAGCGGATGCTGCTATGGAACTCTAGGGAAGATACCCACTACATCAAGCTGTACATGTTATATACATGGTTTTATTTAGCTTGTTGCTCTTACAGTGACCTGTTTTGGTACAAAATTGTTATAAACCCCTTGGATTTCTTAGGAACAGCGAATCTAGCATGTTGCTTTTGTGTACAGAGCAATTTTATTTTACTGTGCATAATACCCTTCTTTGTCTTACAAATTTAAAGGGACACTGCATGGACTGTAACTGCTTAATTTCATTGAGGTGGTTATAATGTTTAGAAGCCCCTGGTGCCATCCTTTGATTCAGTGGTAAATTGTAATGGTTTAATGCTACTTAGGCTAATGAGCAACCATAAGTCTCAGCACCAATGAGCAGCTGTGATAGACAGAGTTGCAGCTGACTACATTCAGCCTATTACAGTGCCCATTGCTGATATGAATCTTAATGCTAGAAGGAAAGGTGTACTCTCTAGTTGGGGCTGTGCTATGAGTGGCCAATGACCCTGTTTTAGTGTTAAACCACTGGACAATGGTTTAACACAGAATGGAGGACAGGAGCCAGAGGGTTCCAGGCACTATAGCCAATTCAGTAAGATGAAATGGTTAGTTCCTACTGTGTCCTTTTAAGATGGAGTATTGCTGCTGTCAGTGGATAGGTTTATTGTTGATTTTACCAACATAGTGTATAGATCAGGGGTTAGCAACCTATGGCACTCGAGGTCTGTGTGAACAGCACTCAAGGCTGCCAGACACAAACCAGCCCTGGCCTATCAGGAGTCCCAGAACTTAGATCACTTCCTCCCAGCACTTGTGAACAGGAATCGGCACTGAAGTAGAGCAGCCCACAGCAGCTATCTCAGCTCTTGCCCTGTACCTAGCCATCCTGGTCCCCACTAGACCCCAGGGAATCCACCACACTCCTAGATATACAGAGAGCTGCAAAAGAAGCCGCATTCTTATACAGATAATCCAAAAACAGCACCACTGAAAATTCACATATACGTACACAACCCCACAAGCTGCCGCTCACCTGCAATTCCACAAGTAGCACCCATACAAAGCTCACATTCAAAGGTATCATATGCAATCCCACAAAGTACTGATGAACATTTATAGAATAGAATATCCCACATACGCACAAATACAAAGCGACTGCAGCACCTAAGGGATATCAAGATCTTGTTCTGGCACAGTGCTACTAAAGGCTTGCCTACCCCTGGTGTAGATCCTATTTGTATGGCTTTATGAAACGGAGCTTGTCATCTACACAGTTTGTTGCCTGTGATTTCTGGTTTACTTTGTATATTAGTTATGGGTTTTTTTTGGCTCACACTACATCAAATATGTAAATTACTCTTCATTTTAAATAGTGACCTTGTGATTTGTACCTGCCACAAAAGTGCTGCTGTTGGAACTCGCTTGGTGTTTGATCAAAATGGAAAAATTGTCCAAAAATCCCCATTTCCTCGACAGCAAGGAACAACTGTCACTATCCAGCAGCTCTTTTACACTCTTCCAGTCCGACACAAAGAATTTCAACGGAATGTCAAAAAGGTAAATTGTTTAGCAAAGAGTCTTTGTAATATTAGTCACCATGTATCACTAGGGGGAAAGGTGAGTTGACCCTGCTGGGATAGTCATTGTTACCGTGAGGTTTGATCAGATGATATTTAGGTGATTTGACTGACTGAGCTCTCGCTCTATATGTCAAATTGCTATTTTAGGGGGACATTTTTTCTGGTTTATTTAGATTTTTTATTTTATTTTGTGAACCTTTCTACTTCCAGAAAAACAGTTCTAAAATATATACATTGTGGATAGCTCTCTAGGGTTCCATAAAAAATGTCAATTTTTTTCACCCCTCCTGGATGGTATGTTTATTCCTCATTCTCATATCCTCTACCAGAAGCCTGTGAGTTTGAGGGTTCTGTGCAGTATCTTAAAGGGACACTATATAGTCACCCAGACCACTTCAGCTCAATGAAGTGGTCTGGGTGCCAGGTCGCCCAGGTTTTAACCCTTCACATGTAAACATAGTAGTTTACATGTTTACAAGTAGTAGTAGTCAAAGAAACTGCTATGTTTACATAGCAGGATTAATCCAACCTCTAGTGGCTGTCTTCCTGACAGCCGCTAGAGGCGCTTCTGCGACGCTGGATGCAAAATCTGCTTGCCTGGAGCGTGCAGAACGTCCATAGGAAAGCATTGATAAATGCTTTCCTCTGGACTGTTGGAATGCGGGGGAGGAGAGGTCACCAGCGCCGTGGGAAAGGGGGCCCTGAGGGTGAGGGTCCCCCAAGGATGCTATAATGTCAGGAAAATGGGTTTGTTTCCTGACACTATAGTGATCCTTTAACTGTTCCTAGAACTGCACTCTTCTGGACAGCGATCTCAGATGTCCCACCTGGAATCTGTTGAAGCCACTCTCCCAACTTGGGAGTCACAGCCCTGAGTGCTCCGATCACAACTGGGATTACTACTGCCTTCACTTTCCACATCCTTTCTAGCTCTTCTTTCAGTACTTGGTATTTGTCCATCTTCCTGATGTTATAGTTACTGGGTATTGCTAAATCCATCACAACGGCAATATATATATATATATATATATATATATATATATATATATATATATATATATATATATATATATATATATATATATATATATATATATATATATGTATGTGTGTATATATATATATATATATGTGTGTGTGTATATATATATATATATGTGTGTGTGTATATATATATATATATATTTATTATTTTATTTTCCTTTTTCTTTGTAAGGAGTTTGGCAAAATGGTGCAAGTATTGCAGGCCTATTGTATCATCTCAACTGGGGTTCGCATCAACTGTACCAATCAACTTGGCCAAGGCAAAAGAAATCTTGTGGTGTGTTCCAGTGGCAGTACAAGCAATGTAAAGGAGAACATTGGAGCTGTGTTTGGTCAGAAGCAGGTAACTGCACTGTCATTAGCTCAAGCTTGTTAATACATAACACTTTATTTCATTTGAGAGAGCTGTTTGTGATCGGGCTGTAGATGGTGGGTAAAAGTTATGTTGTACATCATGGAGCTTTTTTTTTCATCAACATACACGCAGGATTAGATGTACATTCCACGCATTACTATTACTGAAACCCATTCAGTTTCTAAAAAATAAAATGCCATTAAAAGTCAAATCAGGACAAAGCATCTCTGGAAGTAAGCATTGAAGTCGGTTTAGCTGATGCCAACATTTTAGCTCTTGACAAACCTCTTTTATCTCTTGGTGATTATCACCTAAATTAGGTTGGAAGAAACAGTAGGAGCAAATATCATTTTGGAGTTGGACTGTCTTTAAGAGTGGAATCCATCTGATATGCAAATGGTTCGGGTTCTCTCTGTAATACCACAAGTGGAACCAAAACCAACTTGAGACCTTAGCGGGGACCAACGAAGGGCAAGCTTGTTGTCCGTTCTCCGTATTCTTTTGCTCTATGTTTTAGTTTGTTTGTCTTTAGTTGGTTCTCGTTCGGGTCTCAAACAAGTATTTTCCTATTACCGAGGACATCTATGCCATTCGTATATCAGACTGTGGTCACCCCCAAAGGGCAGTCGAGAACCAAGTTCTCTCTTTGTATGAAATTATTCAGCAACCCTAGAGAATCTTTTTAAATCCTCTTTGATGAGGTGTAGCTAATGTCCCTGTTCGTGTTCTCATATCTTCTGTTTTGTCTTGTCTGCTGATTATCACATCCCCAGAACACCTACACAAAAAACACCCAGGAGAAAATCACTCATAATCCAAATCCACCTTTATCAGTCAGGGAATTAAATTATTTCCCATTGTTTCTCTGAGTCAATTTTAACCAAGTAAACAACGGAATGTTTCTATAAATAATTTATGTAAATCAAGGTGTACATGGACCTGAAACTTGCAACTGAACAACTAATTTAATTTGATTTTCCAATTAAAGATTGTATCTCCTTGTCATTTAACAGTTGCAGAGTGTGATCCCTTTTGTTCAGCTGCCTCCTAGCGAAACAGTCTGTGAAGAGTATGGATTAAGCTATGCTGACCTGCCACAAGGATTCTATAAGTAAGATACAGTATACAATTATTGCACTCCTGTACCTTTAATTCTCATAGTCCCTGCTTTTTTTTTTTTATTTAGAGGGCAGGGGAACAGTGACCTTTCACAAAATCATTCTGTAATTGAGTTTCTTAGCCCTTGTAGAGCAGAATCTGATTTCTCCAGTGATGGCAATTCATTAATCTACATTTCCGGTGGCAGAATTGCTAGCAAATGTACAAATTTTAAGAGAAGAAATCCCCCAGTTTTATGGCAATCGGGCATATCTCGAGGGAGATCCTCACCTAACAGCTATTTTGAGCGACTCATTTGCCCCTTCAGAGTGCGGTGACATTCCTGCTACAGAGCGGAATATCATGGATCTGCATTGCATAGTGCCGATCCCTGAATTTCTTGTGAGGCGTAGTAACAGCGTTGGACGGTAGAGGCGGCTGATCTCCTGGCTCACGCAATACTGTCTACTCTGTGACTCTGCACTGTTCCCCCCACCTTTGGACCTGCGAGGGTTATCCCTGTCCCCACTGTGTTGACCCTAAGCCTCATCTGCCTACTGCTCTCACTCCAAGGCTGAATACATCTATCCTGGCAATATGGTGGATGAACTCCATCATTAGGGATATACTCGGACACTGACCCCACAGGATCAAAGGAACCCTATTGGGCACAGGCTGCAGAATCTACAGGCAGTCTTCCAGGCCTTTTAGGTTAAGCTAGAATTAAGAGCAGCGACTCTACAGCTAAGAGAGGTTCCTGAGGGAGCTAACCGACCACAAGTGTCTGATTCAATCTGCCTCTCTCCACCTGGGCAGAAGGCAACCAGGGATTCTCCCCCATCGCATCAACGGCTCCGACGGTGGATTAAGCGCCAACAGAGGTGTCGAACCATCCTGATCCTCAGATGTTACCCATACAGGAGGTCTTGGGCCATATATGTGCCCCTGTCCGTGGCTCATTGATGTGAGGCTCCATGGAGGTTCGGAGGTGTTGGGACACCTGGCCTCACTACCATTCTGTGGCTCTTACCAGCGAGCTACTACTTCCTGCCCTGCATCTACCATGCCAAGGAATCAACTGATTTCAGACAGCCTCATACAAGCGGTTTCAACCATATTATACTTAATGGACACCAACAATCCTGTTTTTAAATATGCTTTTTTTTCTGCCTTAAGCCTTTTATTTTAATTTCATTTAGGTTGGATGCAGTGTTGCAATAGCGTGTCAGGCATCAGTGGTTCACTCGTGTGACAGAATTTGAAATGACTCAAAATACGTTCTGTGTACAGCATGTTACATCTATCTTCTGTTAACCATGTCTTTTTACACAAAAAGCAGTGCAGTTTATCTTGACATTTATCTCTCAGTGAGCACTTCCTGTTATTCCGGCCGGGTACAGGAAACAGAAGTTCCTGTACCGCGGTCTGCTCCGCTCGGCCACGCTACAAGAAAGGTAGGAGACACACCGAGGATGTGGTGCACGCTGCTCCGTTTGGCTACGCTACACAGTGACTGCCAGGAGGGAGCGCTGTACGCCCACCTCCTGCCAGTCACTCCAATCTAGCGCCCCACCACCTCCCTGGGCTGGTGCACCCTAAGGCGTGCCTTTTGGACGTGCTGGCCCTAAATACAGCGCATGTGAAGTTGCTGTGGTACTCCACTAAGGAACATGTGTAGCACAGATATCACTCAGTTTGATGCTGATATGCTGACATTGAAACTAACAAAATTAATTCGTTTTAGGGGCTGTAGTTCTGGAGCAGTTTCTCTGTGGGAATTGTAATTTTCCTCAGCTGGGGATCTAACTTTTAGCCATCACTAATCAGCTGGTAAAAAAAACAATGGTCTTTCCTATCAAACTGTTTCACTTATGTATGACAGTCCCTTTTAAAGAGAAACTATAGGCACCCAGACCACTGCATTCTCATTGAAGTGGTCTGGGTGCAGTTTCCCTGTCTCCTTGACCCAGCAAGTGAAAACGTTGCATTTTAGAGGAACTGCAACATTTACATAAATACTTGCATTAAGAAGGGTTACGATTGCCTCTAGTTGCTTTTTACCAGATAGCCACTAGAGGCGCTTCCTGCTGTTTCATGGAGTTTTACTCCGTGAAAAGATGTTGGACGTCTTCACACTTTTGCATGAGAACGTCTAGGGTCTTCGAACCCCATAGGGAAGCACACAGTCATGCTTTTCTTTAGGGAAGGCCTAATACGCCTGCGGTGCTCACTGTGCATTAGGTTACCCCTCGCAATGATGTCAGAGAAGGTGGATATAGATCCAGCACCGAGAGTGTTTAAAGGGTTATCTAAATATTTGAATCCCGGGGGAAAGGGAAGCGGAGGGGGGGATGGTCAGATGGACACTATAGTGTTAGGAATACAACTTTGTATTGTGATGTTGCTCATCCTTTTGGTATTTGCAAAACCCATTCCGACGATTTTGCATAACCGCTAATGCTAATGGAAGTGCTCTACTTTGTGTGTGAAAGGTATGAGTAGACTGTTGTGAATTGGCTGTAGCCAGTAACAGTGCTAGTTTTACATATCGTACAAGACCAAGACGTTAGAATGCTAAGTAAGCCTGCCTGCCTGTTACAGCTGTCTATTGATTGTTAAAACAGTCTATTGTCAAGTATAACTTGGTAATTGATACAATTATTTTTAGAATAAAACCATCAATTGTATTCGCAGCAGCTTTTATAGCTGAGGCATTATCTGCATATTCAATCTTTTTGTTGGCTCCAAATCTTATTTTACACATGGACGATTTGTTTCTCAACATGTTTTGGTCATCCTTGATAAAGATTCTGTGTTTTACCTTTATATTCTACTTACCCACATTGGATAGAGAATCTTCTACAAATAGATGTAAAATGCTTTGGTACCCTTGGCAGTGGTGGTGGCCAGTATTCATAAGGTATTTAAAATACGGCTTTATTGATATACAGAAATTACACTCCTATTAGGCTTAAACCAAAATATAAAATAACACAATTGATAACGCAACAATTACACAATACCTAATATGTCAATTTAGCAGTACCTTCAAGAAACACACTATATCACAACTTCTCATCTATGGGGAACGATCTTAACCTGTAAACCTCGGTCCAGCAGGTTTTCATGCAATAAACCGCTTCTATACAACTCAGTTAACACGGTCACATAGGATGATTGTTGGTGCCCTGTAAATTAATATCTTCTATAATTTAGCACACAGCCTAGTTCACCATTTGAGCCAAGACATCCATTTCACCAGTCCACTGATAAGCTCTCTCCAGAAATGTCCGTCTTTCCTATGGTATGTGTGTGTGTGTGTGTGCCATGCGCATGCTGCATGCACAGTAGATATAAAATGTATGTATGTGACCTGGGCTGCATGACTGACCGCCTTGGTGAACTGTTTCAAAGCGGCCAATTCACTGCAGCTAAAAGCCACTCTCCGTAATTAGAAAGGGCTCAGGGTGCTCCAAGCAATGTACATTTTGCAATAATGGAAAATGCTTGTTGTACTTAGGCTTACCCTTTAAAATGTTCCTATGTCCTCTGTGAAACAGAATCGTATGTGTTTTAAATATGACTATTTAGAATTGACCGAATAGTGCCCTAGATAGCATTCTGAATTGATCCACTAATTGAATATTGCACACATGCCTGTTTTGCTTTTAATACCAATTTGTGTTTTCAGCATTACAGGGTACATATCCCGCTCAGATCACGGAGTAGGAAGGAGTTCTACAGACAGACAGTTTTTTTTCATTAACCAGAGACCTTGCGACCCTGCAAAGGTAACGTACTCTTTGGCACCATTTATCTTGTTGGTGACAGAAGGGACTTTGGGAAACCGGAACCCAAAGTACCTTCTGCCACTAACATGATGAAGTTTCTTTTTCTCTATTTTCTCAAACCATGTGTAACTGCGGTAGTGGTTATGGTACTTGGCGTTTCCTTTTACGCCTTTCTTTTATACAGTCATTGTTTTTTGTTTTGTTTTTTTTAAATTTATCTTATTTTTCTTTTAACACTTTATTCTTTAAAGAAGAAATGTGTAAAAGCACAACTAATATGGTGTAAAAATGTAATAACTTCATTAAGATAAATATAATATTATCCCTTTGCCAGCATGTATGTTAGTATCGCATTGAAGTGTGCAAACTGCCCTAGTCACAGTCAGCCAGTTAGTGCTTGCATTTAGTTTCTCTCTTTCTTGTATAATCAGTAGGGAAGACCTAGTTAAAGCCCCCCTCTATTAAATGTGTAGACAGCTGTATTTTACCGTATTAACAGTGAGATTTCAAGCCTCCACTAACATCCCCTGCTGATTGGCTGGGACAGGCTTTGGTGCAGCCCTCAGGTGGTTATAAGTGTCAGGAAATGTAAACCGTATCTTTAAATATACATCCCTATTCTGTACCCCTTTAAATAGATCAACAATATATATTTGAAAAAAAACAGTACAAAAATAACATCTGTATCATTGAAATATACCCAAATTAGCTACTCACTTCTATTCCATCTCTTAAGGTATCCAAGGTCGTGAATGAGGTGTATCATATGTACAACAGGCATCAGTATCCCTTTGTTGTTCTTAATATCTGTGTCAATTCAGGTGAGATGTATTGTCATTTTATATAAATATCTTTAGACAAATTACAGGCTAATCTATAGTGCTATCCTGGTATCGGTTCGTTCTGAAGATCACTATTTTATTACAATATAAAAATGCATACCACCAGAGAATTCTGAAAGCAATTTTTACCTCTCAGTACAGAATAATAAAACATAACATTTTATCAATTGATTAGTGTTTGATATATGGGGTAATTGTATTTCTTGTGAATTATAGGTTCATGTATGCCCCATAAAATGCCTTCATATAAATGCCTTGTGTTGCTGGCTTCTATCCACTATAGGAGGATAATGTGAAAATTGAGGTTTGTTTTTGTTCTGTAATCATTATTTACCATCCATAGGATAATAAAATGATAGCCTTAAAATTGTCCCTTACTTAAATACAGGTCGGATAGAAATCCTGGATATTTTAATTAATTCACAAATAGCGGAAGAAGCTTAGAACCTGTTTTGTTCATCAAATGAATGTGATTTTATTTGCAGAATGCGTTGATATCAATGTCACGCCTGACAAGCGGCAGATTTTGTTACAAGAAGAAAAGCTGTTACTTGCAGTCCTTAAAACCTCATTGATTGCCATGTACAGTGGTAATGTGAATAAGCTTGATGTGAATCAGACTCTGCAGGATGCCATAGGTATGCCAAACAAATAAAGTGATTGCTTTTTTTTTTTTTATAAATTCTTTATTTTTCGGGTTTAGGTGAGGTAAAGGGTACAGAATAAAGGTAGGGGTGGGGTAGTAGTGTCATTCAATAGATTTACAGTTTTGTTTCAACTCAATGGCATTAGTACGATTTATTGCGAAACCTCAGAACAGTCTTCCGGGTTAAGTGGTACAGTTTTGTATGTCTCAGGTGAAGGTTGTCACTTGGCTTCGCGTCCTGTCGTCTTCGTCTCTGAGAGCGTATGTGGCTCTTCCTGTGTTGTGTTTGTCAGGTTTTTGAAAGTGATTGCTTTTTTAGCACTTCATGTTATGAGAAAACAAAAGAACACAGATTAGAGCTAACACATTGCTGTTTTTTAATCCAGTATATGTGTGTGTGTGTGTGTGTGTGTGTATGTATATATATATATATATATGTATGTATATTGTAAAACATGCAATATCCCATGTACTTTCTTGTTGGCCTGATGGTGACGGAGAAATAAGTTTACAATAGTTAACTATAACTCACCTGTTTGTCTTGTCTGAACATTTGAATATTTCCAAACCACTTGTTTCTCTTACATTAGGCAACATCAGAAATGTAAGCTCAGATAGCTTTGAATCGTCCATCGCAGGACTAACAAATGCATTTGATAAAGGTACACTTTCTATCTCTAAACTAAGAGAGGCCTTCTCCATTCATCACAAAACTCAAAGTAACTCACAACATGCAAAACTCAACAAAGGACACATCCCATCTCCAAGTCAAAAGACTCTTCAAGCTTTTTTTTGTGTTTCTTCAAAAGATCAAAATGGTGTTTCCCAAACTGTTCCCTGTACAAGTCCTGAAAAAAGAGAACCATTGACTCCAAACCTTTCTCAGAAAAATATATCTTTCGAAAGTGATTGTGATTCTGGGAGGGTAACCACTACCGCACCAGACTTTGATGGAGACCCCAGTATCCCTGAGATCTTAAGTAACCAAAGCTCTGAAGCTTTGACTGACTCTCCTGACTCACCGGTGGACAATGGAGAAGTTGGTCCACCTGTAGTCCTTGACAATCCTCAAAATATGAAATCTGAATTCAAGGAGGATGGGTCAGAAAGTGTGTCAGAAAAAGGACAATTGTATATTGATGGTTGTATTCCAAATTCCAAGCGTATAAAAATGCAAGATAATCCAGTCCCCATCGTCAACTTTACATCAGGCAAATTGCAAGCAGACACAGTAGACGCACCAATAAATATCACTAAGAGAACTGTGCCCTTGCAGTTCTCAATGAGCCATCTAGCTAAAAGAATCAAAAGGCTAAACCTTCAGCAAACTGAGAGAGAGGAATCCGAGAAGTATCGCCGATTCAGAGCAAAAATAAACCCAAATGAGAATCAGGCTGCTGAAACTGAATTAAGGAAAGCAATCAGGTAACTTTCTGTTTATTTCAGGTTTGTGCTGGATGTATATCATTATTAACGAAGAACAGATGCCTGTGTTTTTTGAAGGTTTCTTTCTGAATATATTAATGCCTATACATTCAAGGTCCTTTGCGTAAGCAAACGCTTAAGCTACTATGGTGATTTCCTTACAATTCCATGATATACAAGATTATTTTATTTTGGCTACCAAACAATTATCTGGCAACTGATAATGGTGAAAATCCAAATGCTTGAATTTAATTTTATATTTTTCACTAATTAGTATTCTGTTTGCCATTCATATTTCTAAACCTCTGCACTGTTTTCTTTCGTTTAGATTTTGTATAGCATATCATCATCATGGATAATCCTAGTTTTATACCATGTTTTATTTCATTGAAATCTATGGAGTGTTTTACTGATTTTAGGGAAATCGGAAATGCTTTGCCTTCTAACTGTCTGACTTCTTAACTTCGTAGTAAAGAAATGTTTGCAAAAATGGAAATTATCGGCCAGTTCAATTTGGGATTTATAATAACCAAGCTGGACTCCGACCTATTCATAATTGATCAACACGCAACAGATGAGAAATACAACTTTGAGATTTTGCAGCAGACTACAGTTTTACAAGGACAGAGACTTATTGCGTAAGTTACACTTGGTTTTGTACTGGGTACTTGACCTTGTTTTTTAAAGTAGAGATTGCACTTGCACAGCGATGTACCATTGACGCTGCAGCTTAAGTTCTGACCCAAAATGTATTTGGGACACAAACTGATGAGCGTTACATAGAAGGTCCCGTCCTTCTGTACATAAAATTCATACACTACAGGAAATCAGTTGAGTAATAAGGGCAAGATACGTAGCGCTGTACAATGGGTGGACGAATAGACACGTATTTGTAACCAGACAAGTTGGATTCACAAGTACAGAGGGATTGAGGGCCCTGCTCAATGAGCTTACATGCTAGAGGGAGTGGGGTATAGTGACACAAAAGTTAAGGGTAGGTTAGAAAAATAGGTTGCTGGGATAATATTCATTGAGGGCTTAGTGTTTTGTTTTGATGACAGTTTCAGGAGATGAATCAGGTTGCGGGGAGGGAAAGCTGTTCACAGCTTTCCTAAAGAAGTAAGTTTTCAAAGATTTTTTTTTTTTTTAAGGAGTGGAGATTGGTTGAAAGTCTAACAGGGAGGGGAAGGGCGTTCGATAGGAACGGTCCAGCCCTAGTGAAGTCTTTAAGGTGAGCATCAGAGGTAGGAGTACGAACAGAGGTTAGATGTAGGTCTCCAGCAGAGCGTAGGGGCCTAGATGGGACATATTTGTGTATTTGTGAGGATAAGTAGGTCGGAGCAGCATTGTGTAGAGATTTGTAAGCAAGTATCAGGATCTTAAATTGAGTCCTATATTTTGTGGGAAGCTAATGTAGGGACTGACAAAGGGGGGAGGTGCGTGCGGACAGGAAGATGAGCCTCGTCGCCGCATTAATTATAGACTGTAACGGGGCAAGTTGGGAACATGTAAGAACACTGAGAAGTCAAGACGAGACAGCGGCATGGACAAGCACCTTTGCTGTATAAGGTGACAAATAGGGTCGGAAGCACGCAATGTTTTTGAGATGGAAGCGTCAGGATTTGGCAATTGATTGGACATGAGGTTCGGGAAGAAGAGGTCGGAGTCAAAGAGAACACCTAGGCAGCAAGCCTGAGAGGTAGAGTGGATGGTAGTGCCATTGACTTGGAGGGACGCAGACAAGGGAGTAGCAACACCTGAGGGAGGCAAGACCAGAAGTTCTGTTTTGGAGAGGTTCAAATTAAGGAAATGAGCAACCATCCAGTTGGAAATAGCAGAGAGGCAGTCAGAAACACGATTCAGGGGAGGACAGATACATTTGCATGTCACTCACATAGAAATGATACTGGAAGCCAAAAGAGCTGATGAGTTTACCAAGGGAGGCAGTGTAGATTGAGATCAATAGGGGACCAAGGACAGACCCTTGGGGAACACCAACAGAGAGGGATTGGGGAGAAGAGGCAGAGCCAGAGAAAGAAACACTGAATGAGTGTTGGGAGAAGTAGGAAGAGCACCAGGAGAGAGCGGTATCTCGTAGACAGAGATTACTGGGGATGATAAGAAGCTGTTGATGATCAACAGTGTCAAAAGTAGCAGTAAGGTTGAGGAGAATTAGGATAGAGTAGTGGCCATGAGATTTAGCAGTGATAAGATCATTGTATACTTTGGTCACAGCTGTTTCAACAGAGTGAGGAGCGCAGAATCCAAATTGAAGCGGGTGAAGCAGAGTTGGACTCGAGGAAGTGTGTCAATCTCGCATACACAACTCGCTCAAGGTTCTTGTAGACAAATGGCAGAAGTGAGATAAGGCGTTAGTTGGACAGGGAATTGGGGTCAAGGTTGGGCTTTTTCAGAAACGGGGTTACGGTTGCATGTTTGAAGAGTAAAGGAAATGTGCCAGAGGAGAGGGAGAGATTAAAACTTTTAGTGAGAGGCAGAGCAATAGGAGACAAAGAGTGGATGAGATACGAGGGAATAGGATCGAGGGAATAGGTGATGGGGTTGGAGGAACGGAGCAAAGCAGAAGCCTCTTCTGCTATAGCGGGGGCAAATGAGCATAGGACTGCTGAGTGGGTGTGGTTTTGGGGAAAAGTTGGTAGTGAATGGAGAGAGATGAGTGATCTCTTCCCTGATTGTAGAAGTCTTCTCAGTGAAGTCAGTTGCAAAGTTTGTGAGGGTCAAGTTGGTAGGAGGAGGAGGCATGACCAGGCAAAGAAGAGTTAAAAGCATGAAACTGTCATTGGGGCTCGTGGGAGAGTGTGTATTAGTTTTTCTTTTGAAGAGGAAAGAGCCAGACTGTAGGAGCGCAGCATAGATTTATAGTGGAGGAAGTCAGACGTAGAGTGAGACTTTCTTCAGCAGTTCTGGAACATTTTTGGAGGTATCGGGTCAGCTTGGTGTGCCAGGGTTGTAATTGGGGGGTGCTTAGTGCGTTTAAGTGTAGGATCTGCCATGAGAGAGGAGAGAGTGGAGTTGTAAAGGGAGATTGCAGTTTTAGGGACGGTGAGATTTCAGATGGGTGAAAGGAGACTTTGGAGGTTGGTGAAGAATTGCTGTAGGTCAAGACAATGGAGGTTTCTGCAAGACTGATGTTGTGAGGGAGGTGAACTTTGGGTACATGGTATGCGGATGTCAATGGACAGCAGATTGTGGTCAGATGGAAATGGAACGATGGAAATGGAGAGATTAGAGGTGGTACAGAGTTTGGTGAAGATGAGGTCAAAGAGTGTTTCCTGCTCTATCAGTTGATGAATTAGACCACTGTGTGAGTCCAACGGAGGAGGTTACAGAGAGCAGACGAGAGGCATCATGATATGGTTATGGTAATAGGAGTTCCCCTCTACATCCCTGACAGCTGGAATCTCTCTGGAGTTAAGCCTTATGGTGCGCTCTTCACCATGGCTTTGCTCTCCATACTGGAAGAAGAAAGGCAGAGAGCGGGCTCCCAACAGACCCAAAGTAAAAAGTCAAATCGTTAGCAAAAGGTTTGGCTGCGTACACTGGGAGAAGCACCAGTGGGAGTTGTTGTGGTTATGGTGCTTGGAGTGTTTCTTAAATATTGGGCCTGCATCCATTTTTACAATGTCTGTTCATGATCAATCAAGATCACTGAGCATTTGCAGCAAAAAAGAAACTCTCTCTCCACTGAGAAACATGGGACTTAACCAAATATTATCAGTTTAAAAGTGGAATTATTGTACCTCCTATAAATGTATAATTTTTATTTCTATGTGTTTCCAGGCCACAGACCTTGAGCTTAACGGCTGTGAATGAATGTGTTCTTATGGACAACCTAGAAATATTCAAGAAAAATGGATTTGATTTCATATTTGATGAAAATGGTAAGTATAGAATGGATTACCTAGCTTACCCTAAACTCCTAAACTCCAAGTTGTTATTCACTTAACAGTGACATGTAGTAAATTATATAGATAAATAGTGATACAGGCTGGAAAACCTCAAACTTATGGAGTTCAGCATTTGATGCAGATCCCAAAAAAGTGGAAAAACTATTTTTAAGTGATTTCCAATTCAGCCACAAAATGAGTAAAAATAAATAAATACATTCTGTACAGTGGCAGCCTCATAGTAACAACAACTTGTTACCCCACATATTAACTATTATATTTTTAAATCCAAAATTAACTTCATAAACCACACGTTTCCAGCTTAAACGAACGGATCCATGGTTGTAATACTCGTGCACAACAAATGAGGATAATCTGGCTTCTATTTGTTTATTTTCTGTTGATTTCTTATTTTTATTAGTGTTTTAATTTTTTTTTTTTTTTTTTATTAATCTGGGATTTATGTTTATGACCATAGCCTCAATTTTTAATATTTTCTTGAATAAGCTTGTCAAATGATTTAATATTTTTTGATAAACTTTTAGAATGATTTAATATTATGAAAACTTGTTCAATATTTAATTGTGTTATATTGATATATTTTTAAATAATAAGTTATTATAATTTTTTTTAATATAATAGAAAAAGTAATTTCATTATCCAAAAATATTAAATAATTTGAAAAGCTTGTCTAATAATGTTAAATTGAGAGCCACCGGTAGAATGTTGGATCAGCTGAGTCCTTGGTTTTCATGTGCCTTGGATTTGCACTTTTGTACTTTGAGATGCTGTAATAAAGATGGAGGCGAGTAAAATTTGACCTCATTCCATTAAAGATTTATTGTGGTTGCCTTCATCTCAATGTCCTAAGGCGGTAGACTTGTTTCCCTCCACTAAATTAAACCTTAAAATGTGGAACTTTTTATTCAGAAAAATTTGACCACCTGCCATGTGGTCAAGGGCTACACCATTATCAGCTATACGTTACGCTCTACCTGAATTGGATGTAGATTACTGGGCCTCTCATTTGATTGTCCAAAATGATAATTTATTTTCCTCCAATAGCCTTCTGCCTTTTGATCAACTAAAAGAAAAATGTAAATTAAGGGTCATGATCTTGTGCAGGTCAGATAGGAGACTTATGCCAGGGTTGACTTCAGGTACTTTATTAGTCATTTTAGAAATATTATGAAACTTAAGAGAAAACAGAATTTAGGTAATATGCCACAAAACAGTATACTTGCCACAGAACAGGTTACTTGAAAATAATTAAGAAAGTCTGAGATCTCCAGGTAGGGTTGAAACAGAGGCAGGCTGGTAACAGTGGCAGGTTGGTATCAGTGGAAGGCTGGTAACAGAGGCAGGCTGGTTTGAAGTATCGGTAAGGATGGAGCAGGTTAGTGTTAGGAGCAGGTTTGAAGGGAAGTGAAGATAAATGAAGATAAAATCATAGTTGTCAGGATACGATCCTGACATTAAGTTTAATTGATGCCCAAACACATGAGTGACAATAATTAGTGAACATTTCACTCTTTCCGATCAGGATCCAAAGTTGTTGAAACTGGATATGACAAAACTAGAAGAAATTTATTTAATGGATCCTGTTCGGAAATAAAGCATCTCCATGTGTTATTATATTTTTGCAGGTGACATGTATGATAAATTGAACTACATGTTAAAGTGGGAGGGTGAACTGGGTGGGATATACACCGTAGAGGAGTGGAATAATTTCTTATCATTAAAAGGTATCACTCAATGCACAAATCATTTGGAATCCCACTACAAATTAATTTATCGATGGTATCTAACCCCTTCTAAACTTTTTAACTTAAATCTTAGAGAAAACAATAAATGTTGGAGAAACTTCGGTCATACTGGTCCATTGTTCCACTTCTATTTGTGTCCCAAAATTAAATCTTATTGGCTGAAAATTCTCAAATTAATCAAATATTAGAATTCGATGTAGTTTTATCCCTGTGTCTTTGTCTCTTTAGGCAAATTCCTTCTAACCTGCCTAGATATAAACAAATTATATTAGGCCATCTTTTAATCTCGGCAAATTCTATCTTCTCTCAACTCTGGATATCACCCACTATACCACCAGTTGGTGAAGTCTTATCTGTAATATTTGAAAATAAAAGATGTGAATTAGCTTTCCGTGAACCATCTACCTTCACATCTATACTGCAGCATGAATGGTCCATGTGGGAAGATGGTGTGAAAAAAGAATTCGGACTTTAACCATTTTCCCACCTGACTGACTGAATGCTTGGTCTACTTACTGGCTTTGTGTTTGGTACCATGTTAACTTATTCTTTGAATTTATTTTCACATCTGTACATACTTTATTTACCTCATTTATATAGGAAACAATAATTTGTATGTGTATTTTACTTATTTATCAGTTTTATTTGACAACAGTTCATACATTATTGTATTTGTCATTATATTATTTTATACTATTTAAAAAAAATAAAAAAAAACACTGATTAATAAATATATTAGATGAGATGCTGTAATACCTGTGGTCTGCTATAAAGAAATATCTATTGAAATAATAAGAATAATAACAATAAGCTATTGGTTTTGTTTAACGTTTATAAAACTTGGACAGCGACATTCAGAATCATTTATTTTATTGTATTACAGCAATTGTCATGGAACGGGTCAAGTTAATTTCTCTACCGACAAGCAAAAACTGGACTTTTGGCCAACAGGATATAGACGAGCTGATCTTCATGCTGAGTGACTCTCCGGGAGTTATGTGCAGACCATCGAGAGTAAGACAAATGTTTGCCTCTCGCGCCTGTAGGAAGTCTGTAAGTAAACAGATTGTTTTTATGAATTAACACAAAATTAACAACAAAGGATCTCTAACAAAAGAGATATTAAGTCTGATGAAGTTAAGAATGATGCTTTGCAACATGTGCATCGGTTAACCGTTAAGAAATACAAAATTAATAAAGTACCTAAACATCTTTAATAGTGTTACTTATTGTTGCTCAAGTCCTTCACTACAGCAGTCTGTATAAAATAGAAAAATGTCCTCCCTTAGAATTTATTAAATGTGTGGTCAATGGAGTTACAACAATCCTAAAATATTTACCGTATACCATTAAATTACAAGATGTACTTTGAGGTAAGCAGACAATACTAATTGCCTCTTCTGCATTTGAAGCAACATGTATACCTTATCTTTCTTTGTTTAAGTACAATTAAATCATCTTAAATATTAACGGTATCAAACGGTTACCAAATAAAAATTCAAGAAAAAATTACAAAGAAGGGAAACCCAAAGGATAAAATGGATTTAAAAAACAAAACAAACCAACAAACATTATCAATATGGGAAAGTCATGGCTGTAGGCTAAAGCAACCTATATCGGGGGAGATTGTCACCTAAGGTGTAACCTGGATAATTCTATTTATAGCTTCTCTGTCCTTGAACAAAATCGTGTATCGTGTCTACAAGCTATAACACTCTTAATTCTTTGACATGTATGGATGTTTTTATAGCTTTTAATGTGCATTTTAGTTATTTAAGAGAGACTGTGTCGCGGGTTGCAAGGTCAATTAGTGTCCCTTGGTCAAAGCTTCTCTAAACCTTCGCTAGTCCTGGATTGTGCTACAGCATACAGTGATTATAACCCTCTGGAACCTTGTAAAACTCCCTAATATAATGGACAAGACCAGTCGTATTGGGTAAAACAAGAGATCTGTTTATTTCAGAGAAAAAAACATGTATATGTATTCCCCTACACACAACAGGGGGTCTCTAGCCAGAACAATGCAAACCACTCCCTGGTGTCTTGGTGTCTGGGACATAATTAGGTCAAGACATGATAATTTAATTTCTTGCTGGACACCAAGACACACAGCACAATACCTTTTACATAATATAATTAACACTTTGCTTTCATCCAGCCCAACATTTTACATAATAACTCAACATTAACACAATGTATCCCCACATCCTATATATCATTTTAAAGTCTGTGACCATGCCCATAGTCTGTGGGCTGGAGGCTAGCTGTTATGTCTCTCCAGCAGGCTGTGGCACGGGAGCTTTCATGACACACACACTGCACCAAAACCACTTCTACTTTCTTGTATGAGTTATGGCATTAAAAAAATGTTCAGAAAAATTCCCTTGAGTTTTTTTTATTTGCTCTTCAGTATGCAGTACCCAATACCCACAGACAAAATGTGGGGAATCATAACAAGTACTTGTATTGCATGAACATCACTCTACTTAAAGGACCGCTATAGTGCCAGGAAAACATACTTGTTCATACTTGTTTTCCTGGCACTATAGTGCCCTGAGGGTGCCCCCACCCTCATGGACCCCCTCCCGCCCGGCTCTGGAAGGGGGAAAGGGGTTAAAACTTACCTTTTTCCAGCGGTGGGCGGAGAGCTCTCCTCCTCCGATCCTCCCCTTCTCCTCCCATGCAGCTGAATGCACACGCTCGGCAAGAGCTGCGCGCGCATTCAGCCGGTCACATGACCTCGGTGCTGGGTCAGGCTCCGCCCACACTCCTCCCCCGCCTACGTCAGCCGGCGGGAGAGACCTAATACGCATTTCCCAGTCTTAAAGTTTATGCCTAAAAAGTGATTATTCTTAATTCTAGTTTTGTAGGTATAACCATGGTAACATGCTATTTTCATTGCACAGGTGATGATCGGAACAGCTTTAAATGCTCATGAAATGAGGAAGCTTGTGACTCACATGGGTGAAATCGAGCATCCTTGGAACTGCCCGCATGGACGACCAACTATGAGACACATTGCTTGTTTAGACATGATTTCTCAGGACTGACTTATTTATTTCTATACTTTTTCTACCCTTTTCTTCACTGGCACTATCTTATTTTAAGAAGGATTTGAACATCCTATATAAATGTTATATAATGTGTATGTTCTATATTTACAATAGGATTAGTTTTAATTCAATTTAACATGTCTTGGATGCAGGAACAGCCTTGATCTCTTTGTATAATGCAGCTCAAAGATTGTTTGGAGTTTTTTGTTTTTTTTTATATATATACATTTTAATTTCTTAAATAAAAAAAATGCTTTAAAAGTACAGTTTAGTTTTTATTGCTTATATTAATATATAATTTTATATTAAAATAACAGTGAAGCTCATTATTTTAATTAAAAGTGCTTAATTGTTCTGTATCATTTATATCACATGATTTATTTTTTAATTGGGGTTAGTACTTGGTTTAGGGTTTGTTGCCCAATATTGGAGGCTGTTACACTCCCGCAGAGCACGTGTCGCTATTATTATTATTATGATATTTATAGAGCGCCGTCAAATTCTGCAGCGCTTTACAATGGGTGGACGAACAGACATGTAGTTGTAACCAGACAAGTTGGACACACAGGAACAGAGGGGTTGAGGGCCCTGCTCAATGAGCTTACATGCTAGAGGGAGTGGGGTAAAATGACACAAAAAGGTAAGGATAGTATTAGACTAATGACAGTTGCAGAAGAGGAATCAGTCAGGAGCTATTTCCCAATGATAATATGCCATGATAACAACTGGGGAAACAGAATTCAGCCTTTTCTGTCTCCTCAGCTCCTCTATATCGTTATTGGAAGACAGTGGACTAGTTTCTGCATCCTGGGAGGTTCAGCTCATCTCGATGATGTCGTCTCTGGCAATGCAGTATATGATTTAACTACATGATCGTCTATTGAAATAACGAGCAGATAATGTCTATATAATCAATCTATAATTTAAAATATATCTAAAATTTAAATTTTTTTTCTTGCAAAGGGGCAAGTGGAAATTGAGTCCTGGCCAGAGAATTTTAGAGGGGACAAGGGAGGTTAACAGGGACTTTTGAGGCTGCACAACCGGAGTCCCTATCAGTGTAATGAATCAAAGTCACACCAAGCGTAACTTTTAATTTTGGAGGCTTATGTGTTCTAATAATGATGATAATAATAGTATTATAATGTGTTATAATATAAGCCTGGCTCTGCTCTCCATACACAACAGGGATGAGTGGATGATCTCCCACCATGCACACATTCACATACACTCCCGCTTTCACTAACCCACTGTACAAATATAAGCCTGTATATTTTTAGCAATGTGTGTATGGCAATTCTTGTTGTGCAAGTTGTCCTTCCTGCATTTATTCTTAAAATAATTTTTACTATTGAACTATTTGTTTATCGAGATTTATGAGCTGTTTAGTGCTGTGCAGTTATAAACCAGATTAGTAGTGTTACTAATCAGTAATGAAAGGAGTTTGTTATTGTTGCTCAATAAAGCACCAGTTTGTTGTTGTTTTTATATATATATATATATATATATATATATATATATTTGAATAGTACCAGTCTGGTCTCTTATAATTATTATTTATGAACAGTAACAGGCCAGTTTATTAGTAGAAATTTTGTTAATCCAGTAAAGACGTGGTTTACTATGTGATTTCTGAGCAGTAATGAGCAGGTTTACTCAGTAATACGCAAAGGTTATTATTATTAAATAAACTATTAAAATTATTAACTAGTGGCTAGTTTATTATTACTATTTGGTAATGAGACAGTTGATCAGTAACAAGCCAGCCTATTATTGAGTTGTAATCTGGTTTATTTTTCTTATTCGATAGTAAGCGTTTTTTTTTCAATATTAAGCCAGTTTGACTGTTGTTTGATAATTAAACTGTATCACTATTGTTCAGTTAATTATTAAAGTTCAGCAATATGTTTAATATGGTTTGGTAAACTGGTTTATAATTTGTTAATAATCAAAAGATTTATTATTATTTAATAATATCATTATAATCATAAGTATTGTTTGGTTATAATGATGTGGTAAGAATATTATTATTTTTATTATTATTATTACTGGATGGGTTTTTATTATTTTTAATTATTATTACTGGATTTTTTTATTTTTATTATTTATTATTATTATTTATATTTATATTATTTATATTTTTATTATTATTATTATTGGATGGGGTAATGCTCTGCTATCAGTGAGCAGTGCAGGCCCCGCCCATTCCCAGGCTGACACAGTGAAGGAGCGGGAAGGAGCAGCGTACCAAACCCCGCCCCCTGGCGTGGCCCTGCCCTGTTTCCGTGGTAACCCGGATATAGGCGGTGTGCGCAGGATGTCGTAGTTCGGCCGCGATTCCCGGCAGTCGGAGATGGCGGCTGTGGTTCGGCGGGAGCGGGATTAGCGGTGCGGACTGTGAGCAGGTACCCGGGGGAGGGGGCGGGCTGTAGGCCCGGGGGTGGGAGCAGACTGGCACACCGGCCGCCGTGGCTCTCGGTACCGGGTTTGTGGCGGGCTGTGAGGGGGGCCCAGCGCTGCCCTCTCTGAGCCGGGGAGTCCGGCAGGGTGTGTGTGCCCGGGAATACAGCACGGGGTGTGACTGGGGACATGGGAGGACATGCTGTAACAATGTGGCTTACCTTCCTCTCACTGGGGGGGCTGCACTGTCCGGGGGGGGCTGCCAGCTGCTGCTCTGCGTTAATGGAGGGGGAGACAGCTGCTGGGTATGGATGGGGAGGGAGGGGGCAGCTGCGAATGTGCATGGCTAAAGGGGGAGACAGCTGCGGGTGTGTATGGAGGAGGCATGGATAAGTGGGTGCTCCCATGGATTCAGGTGGGAGGGATTCTGCCATGGATGGGTGCGGAGGGAGGGAAAATTCTGGCATGGATGGATGCAGTGGGGGCTGCAATGAATGCAGGGGGTGGAGGAGGCTGGGGTGGATGGATGCAGGGGGTGGAGGGGGCTGGGATGGATGCAGTGGAGGCTGGCATGGATGGATGCAGGGGGTGGAGGAGGCTGGCATGGATGAATGCAGTGGGTGGAGCAGGCTGGCATGGATGGGTACAGGGGGTGGAGGAGGCTGGCATGGATGGATGCAGTGGGTGGAGGCTGGCATGGATGGCATGGATGGGTACAGGGGTGGAGGAGGCTGGCATGGCTGGAGCAGGCTGGCATGGATGTACAGGGGTGGAGGAGGCTGGCATGGATGGATGCAGGGGGTGGAGGAGGCTGGCATGGATGGCAGTGGGTGGAGCAGGCTGGCATGGATGGGTACAGGAGGAGGCTGGCATGGATGCAGGTGGGAGGGGCATTTCTGGGATGGATGCTGGAGGGGGGTTTCATGGATGGATATAGGCAGCTGGGATGGATGCTGGGGAAGGCTGGCATGGAAGCGGGGGTAGGACTCTGGCATGATGCAGGTGGGGGGAGGCTGGGATGGATGCGGGGGGAGGAGGGCGGCTGCGGGTGTGCATGGATGCAGGAGGGAAGCAAAGATAATTGGATTGGCTGAGGGTGCTAGCGGTTAAAAACTTTTGTAGTTTTGGTCTTTGCTTCTACTAATAGCATCATAGTCTATCGCGGTTTGTTGTATTTACGTTCCCTTTTAGTGTTCTACAAAAACAATTTGTTTCGTGGTCCTTATTTTGTGTTAAAGATGTTGTAATGCAGTCAGTGAATTGTGCTGACTTGGCCATCAGATTTACAAAATTTTAAACCAGATTTTCAGCTTTCCTATAATGGTGTAAATTCTGCGCTAAATTCCATGAAATTAAAAGAAACTTCAGGCCATCTACAGTTCCTGCTATTTAATAAATATATATAATGTGTACATATAATGTATTCTTGAATTATGCTACTCCAATCATTCATGATATGCTCCCTTGGATATCTTTTTAAATGTCAAATACTTTTATATCTATACAGTATTTTTGGATCTCCATGAATAAATGCATTAATGTAAAGCATCTGATCAGAGCATCATATTGGTCTTACAAACTGATGTTTATTCATTAAAAATCGCTAACAAGTTAATTGCAAGCTTTTGGGTCAAACTGCTGAGAAATATATAATATACAACTGTCTGGCATAATATTTTTGGTTAACTACTATTTCTGGTGAAGAGACTGAACATTCTGCAATGCTTGGATGTTGCCAATACTTTGTCAGAAGGGCAGATATTCTATGGCAGCTGATACGTTCAATTCCAAAACTATATTGAAGCATATCAGGGACAAATATGTTTACGGGGTGCAGTTCCAGAATTTATATATAATATATTTCAGTAGCATAAATTAGAATAGATTGAGTCCACAACAGAAGTACAAACACCTTCTTTGTTGCCTATGATTTTATGCACATTAGAAATGGTTTGAAATTAATTCCTGACCTGTTGCAGTCTGAATTCTAAACTAGAATATTGACTTTGCTCTGTAGAAGCAAAAATGTATTGCTGAATTTGTCATTGGTATTCTGTGCACCTGTACCAAATAACTACAATTCGGTATGGAACACAGTTTAAGATGTGTATTCGCAATATGCCCAATTTTGGTAATACCCACTGGTATTTGTCTAAAGACTGAATCCAAGTGATGTTCCTGTATAAGGCTGACTTCTCTCTCTCTATTTTTTTATTTATTAAACAGTAGAATTAAAGGAAAACTGTCACGTCAAGGATTTTGAATATTCTGTTTAGTTCTGCTCTATTTTCAGAAAATATTTGGGGTCTAAAACTGTAGAAATCTGCACTTTTGTTGTAAAAGTCTTCATTATGAATGCTGCCCTCTTTTCGCCATTAAACATATATAGTGGAAGAGGAGAAACAAAGAGTGGGTTCTGTGTAAAGTGTCAGTTCTGAAAAGTGGTGCAAGCATGTAGACTGGAACGAAGTCACTTGTTTCCATGATTACTGCCCAACTTTTTTGTGTTTTATGGCCTCCTTCTCACTTGCATTGTGTGTTTGCATATTCATCTTTAAAACCTAGCACTAGGTGGAGGGGGAAAAAAAAGTCCATGTTGGCTCGAGTCCGGTTACTTACCTGTGTTTAATCTAAACCCAAGATGGCAATTGCCTAGAGGGAACTGCCTTGCAAATATTTCCCATTGCGCTGCATTGGAAAGTCTGCGATTGGACAGCTACAGAAAGTTTGGTCTGTGGAAGTAGGGGTAGGGCCTTGCAAAGGCTGTGTTTTAGATGTAAACGTGTGTGTGTTTTGGAGTATATTTTATTAAATAGTGGTTTATTTTTCTTCTCTATTTGACAGTTTATTGATGATTAGTGTCAAAATAGGAAAAATCCTCCCAGTTATCTATATTTCCAGTTTGCCAATTCTGGTCCTAAAAGGATACTTTAGGTACCTAAAGTACTTCATACTTTACGTGTCCTTAGCACTACCATGTAAAACACTGCACTGATTACATTGAGAACTGCAATAACTTTCATTTCAGCACTAAGACTGTGCCTAGTGGCTGTCTACCAGATTTGACTCTGTGAAATGCCAATGGACATCCTCTCACTCTGAATGAGGATGTCCAGGGTTAGAGAAACACCATAGGAAATCATTAAAGGACCACTCTAGGCACCCAGACCACTTCAGCTTAATGAAGTGGTCTGGGTGCCAGGTCCTTCTAGGGTTAACCCATTTTTTCATAAACATAGCAGTTTCAGAGAAACTGCTATAATTATGAATGGATTAAGCCTTCCCCCTGTTTCCTCTAGTGGCTGTCTCATTGACAGCCACTAGAGGCGCTTGCGTGCTTCTCACTGTGATTTTCACAGTGAGAGCACGCAAGCGTCCATAGGAAAGCATTGTAAATGCTTTCCTATGCGACGGGCTGAATGCGCGCAGCTCTTGCCGCGCGTGCGCATTCAGCCGGCGGGGCGGATCGGAGGCGGAGAGAAGGAGAGCTCTCCGCCCAGCGCTGGAAAAAGGTACGTTTTTACCCCTTTCCCCCTTCCAGAGCCGGGCGGTAGGGGGACCCTGAGGGTGGGGGCACCCTCAGGGCACTATAGTGCCAGGAAAACGAGTATTTTTTCCTGGCACTATAGTGGTCCTTTAAGGCAATGCTTTCCTTTGTAAAAAGAATGATGTGCGCTGCAGATTTGTTTCCCCCCCTCCCGAGGTGGCAGGCCGCGACCCAGTGCCAAGAGTCCTCTACGCTGGAAACAGCTAAGTGAATAAACAACGCTAGAGGGGGAGGGAGCTGAGGAATACAGTGTTGGGATATACATCTTGTATTCCTAAAACTAACCCATTCCTTTAAATGTGAAATTCACTGTGCATATCTGACAGATCTCACATTTGTTAAATAACTGAATGTTGGACAAGATAATGCAGAATTTAATTTCTGCATTCGCAGAATGGTAGGTGAGTGCTTGGCATGAGGTGTTCCAAGAGCCTTGTTTGTTTTTCAGAATAACTTGTCGTGTAAGTGATTCATTTGTTGGCAAATCTCTTATCCCTACAAAACAGGTCTCTGTAAGCCAGTATTATCACTGCTCTCTTCCAGTTTTCTCTTCTCTTATATCTTTACCTTTTCTTTACTGTGTAGTTTAATTGCTTGCACTCGGCAGAGTTATGTGCCTGTGCTGGACTATGCTGCTGACAAACATGCTGTTGATGAAAATGGTTACTAAATATAAGGTCTGATAGAGCAGGTGATATTGTTCAAGGGTGTTACTGGCCTTCCCCATTGTGTGCCAGCAGTGACTGGTAGCTATGTGCCGCCCTCAGAATGTGTTCTCATTTAGTTTTGCTTTAAGTAGATATTTTGTATTTATTATGAAACTGAAAGAAACTTTCCACTGTTTGTAATGTTAAGGATTTGTCTGGTCCTAACAGAACATTTAAAATATGCAAAAATGATTGCTTTTCCATATTTTCCCCCAACCCACAAAACCTTTGCCACTGCATCCCACATTTGAAACCCTTACACAATTTCAGCTTTTTATTGACCATTACTGCTTCCTCGCCCACGTATGCTCCACCTTTCCCCATTCCTTGTCTATCCCTCCAGGTCTCCACATTCAAGATTTCTACAAGCCGTTGGTGAGTGCGAATGTAGCCCTGGAGGGTATACAGGTGATACTCAAAAAATTTGAATATCGTGCAAATGTTCGTTTATTTCAGTAATGCAACGTAAAATGGGAAACTAATATGAGACGCATTACATGCAAAGCAAGATCGTTCAAGCCGTAATTTGTCATAACTGCGATGATTATGGCTTACAGCTCATGAAAACCCGAAATCCACAATTTCAGTAAATTAGAATATTACATGCAATCAATAAAACAAGGAGTGTACATAGAACAATATCGGACCTCTGAAAAGTATAAGCATGCATATGGACTCAGTACTTGGTTTGGGCTCCTTTTGCAGCAAATACTACCTCAATGTGGCGTGGCATGGAAGCTATCAGCCTGTGGCACTGCTGAGGTGTTATGGAAGACCAGGATGCTACAATAGCGGCCTTCAGCTCTTCTGCATTGTTCGGTCTCATGTCTCTCATCTTTCTCTTGGCAATGCCCCATAGATTATCTGTGGGGTTCAGGTCAGGCGAGTTTGCTGGCCAATCAAGCACAGTAATCCCACGGTCATTGAACCAGGCTTTGGTGCTTTTGGCAGTATCGGCAGGTGCCAATTTCCTGCTGGAAATTGAAGTCAGCATCCCCATAAAGCTAGTCGGAAGGAAGCATGAAGTGCTCCAGAATCTCCCGGTAGATGGCTACGTTGACCCTTGACTTAATGAAGCACAGTGGACCAACACCAGCAGATGACATGGCTCCCCAATCATCAGACTATGGAAACTTCATACTGGACTTCAAGCATCTTGCAGTGTGTGCCTCTCCATTCTTCCTCCAGACTCTGGGTCCTTGGTTTCCAAATGAGATGCAAAAGTTGCTCTCATCAGAAAAGAGGACTTTGGACCACTGAGCAACAGATCAGGTCTGTTTTTCTTTAGCCCAGGTAAGACGCTTCTGACGTTGTTTGTTGTTCAGGAGCGGCTTGACAAGAGGAATACGACATCTGACGCCCATGTTCAGGATCAGTGTGTGGTATGCACCGACTCCAGCCTCAGTCCACTCCTTGTGAAAGTCCCCAACACTTTTGAATGGCCTTTTCCTGACAGTCCTCTCCAGGCTGCGGTCATCTCTTCTGCTTGTGCACCTTTTTCTTCCACACTTTTTTCCCTTCCACATAACTTAAACGTGCTTTGATACAGCACTTCGGGAACATCCAACTTCCTTCGCAATTACCTTTTTTGAGGCTTTCCCTCGTTATGGAGGGTGTCAATTATGGTTTTCTGCACAACTGTCAGGTCAGCAGTCTTCCCCATGATTGTGATTCCTACTGAACCAGACAGAGACCATTTAAAGGCTCAGAAACCCTTTGCAGGTGTTATGGTTTACTTAGCTGATTAGAGTGGGACACTGTGAGCCTAGAATATTGCACCTTTTCACAATATTCTAATTTACTGAGATTGTGGATTTGGGGTTTTCATGAGCTGTAAGCCATAATCATCACACTTATGACAAATCACGGCTTGAACGATCTTGCTTTGCATGTAATGTCTCTCATATATTAGTTTCCCCTTTTACATTGCATTACTGAAATAATTGAACTTTTGCACGATATTCTAATTTTTTGAGTATCACCTTTTCTATGCCTTGCAGTGGGGAGTAACTTTTAAGACCTGGGTAGTAGTATAGAGCTACATACTATGCCCTGTATATATTCTCATACAAAGCTTTTAAACAAGTATGGTCGGTTCAAAGTGTAATCAAGCAATGGGTCCCAGGAGTGCTTTTTATTTATTTATTTAACTTTTATTAAAGTAGTGAATATGCATAGTTTGACTACTTAAATGGTATCACAGAGTAGGTTAAACAATTTTAAAAATAAATGGGGAAATAAAACAAAACTTGGTAGCTGATCGCAATTAAACTATGCCAAAAACTTATATTCGCATAATTGAACAGTAAAAACAAGACTGCTGTTTTAGCATAGCCTCGGAGTATCTAGCAGGAGGTATTTGTTAGTTATCCTATGCCCAGGCAGGGAAAGATGTATGGGCAGATTTGATTCAGTCCAGTGTTACAGGCACACTCCCAGCTCCATGTCTGTTTAGGAACCTTTACAGAATATCTGATTACTGCCATTACCCCGTTTGTGTAGGCAATGTCCCAAATCAGACACTTTTAACAAAGAGCCCCTTAGGAATATGGATGTTGTGCAGGAATAAGGAACCAACTTGCCACAGCAGAAACAGGAGCCAGCTGAACTGACGATAAAGGGGGATAATGTGCCCTCACCTCTAGTCTGTGCCTGAAGCGATTACATGTGGCATCAAAAGCTTCCTCTCATCTCTGAGGGTTTACCTCTGTCGAGGTCTGTACATCAGCCAATTTGGTGGCCATCTTGGGTTGCCCATAATATGTTGCTTGTTTTAGGACCAGTAACGAGAATATGAAATCTGCACTGGTGGAGACCAGGTCGTTGTACTACCTTTTTAGAGTGTTGTTTATGTATGAATATCTTTCCTTGTTTTAGTGTAATAACTTGTAGTGGTTGTACTGCATTCGTGTTTAAGGCTAAAAACCTAAAGCTCAGACATTGATTATGCTACCTTTTTTATTTTGCAGTGAGAAACCATGACCATTATAGACAAAGTATCTTCAGCTCAAGCAGCTTGCCAGAATCATGTGTGCAACACCATCAGACCGTCATCTGGAGGTATGGACACAGCTTGTGCAATATGCGGCGTAGTAACAGCTCTAGCTAAACTCTCTCTTGGACCTATTCCTGGTGCTGCTGTCTTCTCAAATTCATCTGTTCCTGAGGAGCCCTTGCCTTCAGAGCAGACTGTTCCACGTAAGACCCAAGTTTTATCCAGATCTATACATGAACGTTTTTTGACTTTAACGGAGCTACCCAAAACATTTTACTGATGTTGAAGGTTAAGCATTCTTCTTTTACATGGTTGATGCAAAGCATGATTTGCCTCACTTTGTGTCAAAGAAGATGGTCAGTCAGAAAACCCAGGCAAATGCAGCCTGTGCCCATTGATTCTAGTTCCTTTGTTCAGGAACGAAATGAAAAGGTCTGCAAAGCAGGTTGGAGTGACATCAGTAGGAAAGTGGAGTTAGGCTCCATCTTGCTGAAAGACAAAGTCTTTGTAATTGGAAAAAACACACTTAGGCTTTTTAAATTTACATTTTTTTTTTTTCTCTCTAGGATCTACATAACCTAATTGAGCTAAAGAGGTTTATTCTCATGTTGAGAAAGTCCTGTGGTTAGTGACTGATGTGTTTCTTCTGTCGTGAATGCTTCTATACATCTAGATAGATCTTATGGGTACAGCTAGAATTTCCATCAATTATAGAGCTTAGACTGATGCTTTGAAGAACTGGCTGCGCCCCGAGGCTCTCTGTGCTTCCTGAAAGTCAATTTCAGTAGACTGGTGCCACTACGAGCCAGCATGGGAGGCAACCTTTGGGGTTAAACAGTTTGAGAACCTGGCACCATTTACCAAGTTTGTAAGATAATTGTATACCTGGAACAGTCTTATAATAGATTTCTTATATTGTACTGTAGTCGTACAACTTCAGATGTCCTGAATTTTTAACTCCTTATTGTTTTGGGACATTATATTCGCTTTGGTTCTAGCAAGCTTGGAATATGAATTCCCATCGTTTGTCTGCTAGAAAATGCTTGATTTCATAGCACTCTGTGCCCACTACTCCCACTTGGGATGTCACATAGGAGTTTCACCTTTCTCATCAAACTATGCATTGGTCATGTTCAATCAACATTAATTTGTTCAGCCTTCTTATAGAAACACTATTAGTACAGTGTTCGGAATACAGCTATCTCCCAAAGTATTTAAAGGGCTAAAAACCTCTTTAAAACACTTATTCCAATGACAGTCCCTTGGCACTTGCTCTCTCTGCTTTTTCTGACATCAGAGCTGAGGAGAGGATACTAATGTGCATGCTTGGGGTGGACTTTAGGGCTTCCCTATAGAAAAGCATTGACTCTGCATGTAGGCATCCAATGTCTTCAAAAAACCCATAGAAAAGCAAAATGTGACGTCCAGCATTGTTTAATGGAGTGAATTGCCTCTAGTGGCTTTCTGCTAGACAGGTCTCGGTGCCTATAGTGTCCCTTTTTAAATGTTTGTTTAACCCACCATGGTGCGCTATTTAAAAAAAATAATTTCTAAATATATATTGTTTGTGGGGTGTTTTTTTTTTAATTTTTTTTATGGGTACTTTAAGCACATAACACAGTTTGCATTGCATTGAGAGAGTAGAATTTTAACATTGGCAATCCAGAAAGGGGGCAGCTTCAGGTCCCTGGGGAACCATTGATTTGTTTAAGCATTTTGATAATCTAGAAGCGCCACCTGTGCTCTCCTAGCACTATAATCACTATAAAGAGACATATTTTTTTTTTTATTTTTTTTTTTTATGAAAGTTTTCTGGCAGGGTTTTATTTATAATATTTATGACCAAGTGGTATATAATTATTCTGTAATATATCATAGACCAGTTAAACGGTGGACATTTTGATATAGGTCAAACTCTGAATTTAAGAATGTTGTTGGGATGCTATAGCAGAATTGGGATGCTATAGCAGATATGCGTAATGAAATCTAGCAAGGATTCATTAAAGAAGCCAGGGAGGAAAACATAGAAAAAGTGTTTGTATCTAGATTCAAAGACCTTATCTTGTGTGCTCTAACTGTAGGAATGTGTTTTAGACTGTTGTAGGCAAGAATGTTTGAATGCGAGTAGTATCCATGTTTCTGCCTGTGGAAGACAAGGTAGTGCCAGATACATTCCTCTGTGCTGAAGATGAGGAAGTGAAAGTATCCCCATAACATGTTTCTATTCAAACTTTACGATTTCATAACCCATTCATGTGATAGACCTATATGGATAGCTTGGGTCATTTACATTTAGCATCTACTATCCCTGTATTATTTTCTATTCCATTTATCTGTTTTATATAGATGAACCCCCAGACTCTACACTTAGAATTTTCTTCCCCTCTCTCTATTAGTCCCTTTTTGTCTTTTCCTTTGTTATATATAGCCTTTGGCTGTTTTATTTTTATATATATATATATATATATATATATATATATATATATATATATATATATATATATATATATATATATATATATATATATATATATAAATATAAATTTTTTTTTTTTTAAGATTACCTATTAAGTTAGGTTTTATTTTGCTTTGGGTTGCTCTTTATACATTGGAAGCCTGTGGAGTTGCATATTGTATCCTCTAGGCCTCTTTGTATTTTGTAATTTTTCTTCTCTTCTTTTTGTAATTGTTACTTATCAGGGGTTACCCCCCTATTTCCTCTAGCAACTCGACATTATATCTCTATCCTTCTCTTGTCTTTAAAATCATGTAGAAACACAAATGGGCACACAAATTAGACCAATGGTAACACAAGTAGCTTTGTGATAAAACTTTACAGTTGGCTTAATCTTTCAATGTAAAATGCGCAGAGCATATTATAGAAATATCATTCTTCACTGGGTGTGTATTTCTGTCCATTCTAGACGTCTTGTGCGTATCAGACCCTTAAGCATTCACTGTCAGAAATACATATCTCAATGTTTATTTTAGCAGTTTCTCTAGATTAGACTGGATGACCGATATGGAGATGTCCATCCATTTATAAATGGACGGTTTCTCAGTCTATTCAAATATAAAAAATTTGAAACTTAAAAATTCTTCATTCCAAGAATAGTGAATGTTGCCTTTGAGCTGCATTGATAGGCTTAAAACCAGGGTTGCAGGCTAAATAGATGTTTTCTACATTACATTTAACAAGATGTGTGGTAAACCAAAAGGGCTGTGCTCACCAGAGCATGCATACACATTATAAGGGTGCTGCTGGGGGCAATTCATACAACATACAAAATCCAGCACACTAACTCATCAAATGTGTTATATTTGCACCCCTCCTTCTCACAGGTGCCTCATTCCAAGGCCCTATTTAACCTTGCCCTGCAGAGATTCCCAGGAGGAAGCATTTCCCAAGTAAGTGGATTCATCTCGAACGAGCAGGCACTGGCTGCTAGAGCAAGGCCTTCCAAGACAGGGGTACATTACCGTTGTGACAGACTTGTGCAATGTGGGATTATATACTGGAACTACGCCCCCATTATTTTTGTGATATTTTGAAATAAAACTTACAGCAATTTATCGTAGACTTAAGATATGGCTAGGGACTAAGGAAAGTATTTAGAAAATTGGGCAGACCTGATGGGCCGAATGGTTTTTATCTGCTGTCACATTCTATGTTTCTGTTCTGTTAGAATTTAAATTGCTGTTTAGTGTGTGTGTTTGTGTGTAATATCATTTTGTATATTTAAAATCCTGGAAAGTGTTTTCCTTTAATTGCTAGTGATGCCTAAAGCCCCCAAAACGTAAAAATAGTGGCAGGAAGTTAAGTAAAGATGCTGTGTGTAATGTGTTTACGTCATAAAAGTAGTAGTGCCATCTATTTGTTCATTGCTAGAACACACACTTTTATGCACAGCCCTAAGTGTGGCCTATTGAATTCCTAGTTGACATCTGCACACAAGATCGTCTGGGATGAAGCTGTGCCTCTATAAAGGCTAAGCCATCCTTTTCCACTGTGGGTAGCTATTTTGAAAGGGACTTTAGTAGTAAGCTTCAGGTAAATATCTATTTTTTTTTTTATTTTTTTTATTTATTTTTTTTTTTTTGTCACCTTTCTTTTTTGAAGGCTTTCTTGTATAAGCAGGTAAGACTGTCTTTACCATGCTTACTTTCTTTTTTCACCTTCTCTATTCTACTTGAAAATTGTAATGTTATTTATATATATATATATATATATATTAGATAGAAAGTGGTCTTTACAAAGCATTTAAACCTTCTAAATAATTCTTAGAAGTCTTTCCTCCTTACAGACGTATTTAGTCCCTTAGTTTTTTTTTTTTCTTTTTTTTTTTTCAGCAATGGAGGTACCAGAAGATGGCATTGACCCACCGGAAAAGATCCTTTTTCCTACAGAGAAGATTTCCATGAAGTGGCACAGAATACAGAAAGTTGGAGCTGGTCTCCAAAATCTCGGAAATACTTGCTTTGTAAACTCTGTATTGCAGTGTTTAACGTATACTGCACCTCTTGCCAACTACCTGCTTACCCGTGAACACTCAAAAACATGTGAGTATTGCATCTTTTTCGTACACATACCCCCTAAGCAGTTAGGTAAGTGTAGTTTAACCCTTTGGATTCCAGAGGCAGGGCACAAATCATGGCTCGTACCTCCTCCGGCATGCAAAGAGTTAATGGTACACTTTTTTTTGTAGGGGAAACCAGCAATAGGCAAGTTTGTTTGTATAGCCAATTTATGGACTTAGTTTCACAGATGAATCCTAAGGCAGATGTAAGCCTCTGCAGACGGGATCAGAATCTGTGACTTTTTTTTTTTGGCCCTGCAGCTTACTCTTATGTACTTACTGCAACATTCGTTAAATAGCCCCACTGCCCCCCCACATTGAGAACCAGAGGGAAAGCACAAAAGCGAGGGAAATTGGAGGAAAGTGGTTTTTCTTTTTCAATTCAATTTCTACTCTGATCTCCCGTTTCC